CGGTTATTAAGAGAAATAATGCCACAGGAGACAGTAATAACAGCAGGAAAGTATCAATGGATTGTGCAGCCACAGATACAACCACCAAAGAAAATTCCAAAAGACGAACCTTAATTTTCTAACTTACATAAGAGGCAGCATTTTACAACACCATTGTATATAATAAGATTTAAGTATCTATGGATTTGGGTATCCACGGGGTGCCTGAATACCCTGTGGATATCAAGGGGCCACTGTATTGATAAAATCTCTGAATATTAATTGCTCTTTCAAATGACAAGTGAAACAGTTTATACTACACAGGATGGGGTTTGGGGAACCCCCATGGTATTTGCCAATTTGTTTCCTCGTTATTGTGCCATTGCTGCCATTGATAGTGACCAAGAATGAGTGCATTTTCATTATTCAGAATCAGGAGTCCCACATTCTTATCAGTATTGCTAGTGTATTGTCGAAGGCTTTCATGGCTGGAATCATTGGGTTGTTGAAGTTTTTTTCTGGCTGTATGGCCATGTTCTAGAGGCATTCTCTCCTGACATTTCGCCTGCATCTATGGCAAGCATCCTCAAAGGTACTTCTGAGGATGCTTGCCATAGATGCAGGTGAAACGTCAGGAGGGAATGCCTCTAGAACATGGCCATATAGCCCGAAAAAAACCTACAACAACCCAGTATTGCTAGAGTTTATCGGAATTGTTAAAAATTGGTGAAGAGGTCGTTTACCCTAAATGCTACTGGAAAATATATGTTGTTGTTGTGTGCCTTCAAGTTATTTCTAGCCAATTGTGATCCTCAGGCAAACCTATCATGGGCTTTTCTTGCCCAGATTTGTTCCGATGAAGTTTGCCATTGCTTTCCTCTGAGTCTCAGAGAGTACATCATGCCCATGGTCAAGTGGGAAATTGAATCCTAGTTTCCAAAATAGTAGTCAACATTCAAATACTCGGGAGGTTTTTTAAAGCAGAGATCTGGGGGCCAACTTTCAGGAGGGCTTGGGTTGTGCATGGCATGGAGTTGAACTGGATGGCCCTTGGAGGTCTCTTCTAACTGTAGGACACTATGATTGTGGATGCACAGCTGCTGCATACCTTGCTTGTGGTAGTTAGGCACACATAAGGATAGAAAATGTTTTCTTTCCATCTCAGTCTTTGTTTATTTGCATTGTTTACTGCCACAACCCAGCGCTCAAAAAGTCCTCACATCACCATCTTTCCTTCACTGGTGCTAATAAAGTTGGCAAAGGGTGCCAAGCAGGTGAAAAAGCCTTCATAAAGAAAAGGCTGCTTCACTGTCATAGGCTTTGTGGACTGAGCTCTCCTTGTGCTATTTTCAGCACTGAGCGTGTGTGAAGCTCTGCAAACGGCAATTGGCACGGCTTTGTGGCTGCAGATTGCATGCACCCGGCCCTCCACAGATCTCAGTAAAACGTCGATGCTGCAAATCATATTTCTTTCTGCTGGAAGGTGCTTGAGTGGTACGGCGTGTGCTTTGAAGCCGGGGCGAGGGGGAGAAATGGTGCATCAATGCCTTGAGTTTTGGAGTTGCTTTGTTTGCAGTATGACTCAAGGGTGCTAAGTAGCTTAGGCGGCTGCAGAAAAGCTGTTCTTCACCCTGAGCAGATTATACTGAATGAGTGTAGGAAGCAGGGAGGGAGGGGGGCATAGCCTTGAGAGCAGCAAGGTTGGCTTTTGTATATAAAGACAAGAATGTTGGATCTTAAGAGTTGGAAGGGACCCCATAGGGCCATCCAGTCCAGCCCCCTTCACCCAATTAAAGTGCTCTGAATGGATGGCCCATCTAACCTCATCTGAAAAAGCTAGGCATGGGAACAGCAGAAAAAAAGGAGATTCAAACACACGTTTCCCACTATCCAACAGCTCTTTACTGTCAGGAAGTTCTTCCTAATATTTAGGTTTAATCTCTTTTCCTACCATTTGAATCCATTGCTCCATTGTGTCCTAGTTTCCAAAACAGAGTGATGGGCGCTGTTTTTCATGCAAGGGCGCATTGGCCTGGAGAGGCTGCCAGTTTTGAGGACGGCCTGTTCTGAAACCATCTCTTGCTGCAACCTTCCTGCCCTTGGTTGTCTAGACTTGGGAGATCTCTTCCTGGGCTCTTATTAATGTCTTTGTGTTTTCTGAGCTGGATGCAGAGCAGATTGTACGAAGTACGCAGTGGAGAAGTGCCATTTGTACATTCAGTTGTCCTTATCCCTTGGCTATTCACTGTCCCTGTTTTTCTCTTTTGGGTTTGTGTTACCTTAACGTGATTTGTTGGCATTGTTGGTTGGGATTCTGGTTATCTAGGATCTCTTTAGCATTCTTATTCTTTGCTGTGGGCTCAAATGCAACTTGTCATCCATGGTAATCCAAGGTCCTTTAGACATGTTGTATTGCTGAGCCATATATTCCGTATCTTATGTGTGACCATGGCTTCCCAAAAGCTTATTCTCAAGCTAACTATTCAATTACTTGAAATCTTTCTTCCCAGCCTCATGGGTTAGGGAATTTGGATGTAAAAATAGATTTAAAGCAGAAGTACGTTTCTCAAGCAACTGGTATCAACATATTTTCCCCCACAGTTATATACAGAGCTCCATAGTAAGACTAAGGAATAACAACATCAGTTAATGTGGTTTCCTACAACTGTCCTGAAGATGAAGAATTTAGAAAACATTTGGCATACAAGCAGATATAGACACCTTCTCTTGACTGCTAGGACGATTCTAGGGAAAACTGTACTGGCTAATCTCTTTTCCACACACTTGTCAAATGTCCAGGAGAGGAGATTAGCTCTAATTTTGCAATTACCACCACAATCGGCTTTGCTAAGCGCCTACTCAAACTCCAGGACCAAACCCTGGTCCCAGGTTGTTTGGGGGGGTGGGAGGCGGGGTGGATTTCAAGAAGGGCCGAGTCAGCAACCTGGAGGAAAGYAGGGTTTCAAACTCACTCAAATGCGCAAGGAGGAAATCCYATTTGCAAGCTAGGCATGGGAACAGCAGAAAAAGAAGTCCTCCATTGGGGAATTAAGTGGGCACTTATCTCTTAAGCAGGCTGACAGATGGTCTGGTGAAAGAAAATGACATACATACACACACATATCCCCCCCCCCCCCCACGATAGCTAATTTGTTTAGTGCAATGCCATACTGACAAGGAAAGCAACATTTCGGAACTGATTTCCTACATAAAATCCTACTTTGCACAAGTTGAAACTTACAATGGCACATCAAACCGAACTGGGAGGCAAGTCCCCAATACTACTGCTCACAGGAATAGCTCTCCAGATGCAGTTGTGATTCTATGTAACCCTGGCAGATAGAAAATGATTCTTTGTTGTTAAATTCTGCCAAGATGGCTACAAGAGGATTGGGAGACTTCCTCAAAGGCCCTGTTCTTTAGACAGCTGCTCATGTCTTGCAAACTCAAGAGTCGCAATTGTGATGTCCTATCCGGTTGGGTCCTATGGGGAGAAAACCTAGATAGAAATAAAGATAATAAAGAAGTGGTCTGCAAACACTTATAAAGGAATACAGTAATTGCTAATAGTCATGCAGACTAATTGCTAATAGTCATGCAGACTAATCCGATCTCTTTTTTCGATAGAGTTACAAACTGGGTAGATGCAGGGAGTGCTGTGGATGTAGTGTATCTGGATTTCAGCAAGGCCTTCCTTCAACAAGATCCGCCATGACCTTCTGACAAGGAAACTAGTCAAATGTGGACTAGGCAAAGCTATGATTAGGTGGATCTGTAATTGGTTAAGCGAACAAACTCAAAGGGTGATTCTTCCCCATGCTTCCTCTTCATCCTGGAAAGAAGTGACGAGTGGAGTGCCAGAAGCAGGGTTCTGTCCTGGGCCCAGTCCTGTTCAACATCTTTATTAATGACTTAGATGAAGGGTCAGAAGTCATGATCATCAGGTTTGCAGATGATACCAAATTGGGAGGGATGGCTAATACTCCAGAAGGCAGGAACAGAATTTAAAATGATCTTAACAAATTTAAGAGATGGGCGAAAACTAACAAAATGAAGTTCAACAGGGACAAATGCAAGATACCCAACTAAGGTAGAAAAAAATAAAAGCAAAGAGACAAAATGGGGGGCAATGCCTGGCTTGACAGGCATTTTCCCCCAAGATCTTGAAGTCCTCCTTGACAGGAAGGTGAATATGAGCCAACAATGTCACGCAGCAGCTTAAAAAGCCAATGGAATTTTGGCCTGTATCAATAGGAGCGTAGTGTCTAGATCTTGGGAAGTCATGCTCCCCCTCTTGTCTGCCTTGGTCAGACCACACCTGGAATCAAACTGTGTTCAGATCTGGGCACCGCAATTTAAGGGAGATGTTGACAAGCTGGAATGTGTCCAGAGAAGGGTGACTAAAATGATCAAGAGTCTGGAGAATAAGCCCTATGAGGAGTAACTTAATGAGCTGGGCATGTTTAGCCTGCAGAAGAGAAGGCTGAGAGGAGACATGATGAGAGCCATTTATAAATATGTGAGGGGAAGTCATAGGGAGGAGGGAGCAAGTTTGTTTTCGGCTGCTCTGGAGACTAGGACTTGGAACAATGGTTTCAAACTGTAGGAAAGAAAGGATATTCCACCTGAACATTAGGAAGAACTTCCTAACGGTGAGAGCTATTCAGCGGTAGAACTCTCTGCCCCAGAGTGTGGTTTAGGCTCCTTCTTTGGAGGTGTTGAAACAGATGCTGGATGACCTTCTGTCGGGGATGGTTTGAATGCGATTTTCCTACTTCTTGGGAGGTTGTTGGACTGAATGGCCCATGCGGTGTCTTCCAACTCTAGGATTCTATGATACTACTACTACTACTACTAATAGTAACATGGTCTTTGGTGTTATTGTTTGTTCCTGTGTCATCTTCTGATGTGTCCAAAGTACAATAGCCTCAGTTAGGCTTCTAATCTGGAAGACTGACATGTGACTGACATGCACCCAGATATTCAAACCCTTTACTGTGTCATTTTCCGTCTTTTCTCAGGTCTGGCGCTGAAGAAGATGGTTCTTACAGAGGTGAGTAGTGGAGTTTCTTGTATGTTGGCGTAAGCAATGAGATTGCCTTCAGAAGACCAATCCCATTGTATTTTATCAATGGCCACATTTTTTAGTATGACATCCACCTTTTGGATATCTTTAAATATTGTGGACCGTGTGATGGGTGACTTATTTGTTGTATTTAACAGCATTTGATTCATTTTGTTTTGGTGAGTCTGACCATCTGCACCAGTCCACTTTAGTAGCCCTCTTCATTGCAGCTGAACCTGAGCTGCCTTTTGCGGAGTTGGAAAGCCCACTTCTCCTTTGCCAAAGGCTGCATTGAGACATTAAGCCAAAGTGACGTGTCCGCAGGCGTCTTGTTTTAGAGATGAATCATGTTTCCTGGAGGCTTTGGGGAAGGATTGAAATTGGCCTGTTCCCTGCCCATGTCATCTCATTTCTAGTGCCATAATGCCCAATTCAGCCATTGACAACGTCTGCCAAGATATCATAGAGGGGGAGATGCACAGGGTGATTTTGGCCCGCCTCTATGTCACATACTTCTGACTACACACACTGCATTCTTTATGGTAAACAAGGGCATTTAGGCGACAGAGATTAGTGTTGTGTAGCATGACTGAGGATAACAGGAGTTGTAGGCCAATACAGTATGAGCCTCCAGCTAATTTGATAGAAACAGGACAAACCTAGGATTGTGTATCCAGAAGTCAGAATTATTGAAGTACTCATGCCACTCATGCCTGCAAGTTGCCAGTGAGCTTATGGTGACCCCATGAATTTCCTTAGGTTTACTTAGGCAGGGAGTACTCAGTGGTACTTTGCCATCACCTACCTCTAAAATATAGCCTAAAAAGTATCGGATATTCTTAGCTTCCAAGACTAGACAGATTCTGGTACCTTTAGGGCAGTGATTCCCAAAGTGGGCGTTACCGCTCCCTGGTGGGCGCTCAGCGATCGGGGGGGGGGGGGGGGGGGGGGCGGTAGTGGCCATAGGCGCATTTGGAGGCGATGAATAACTGTAAGGGGGCGGCGGTGAAAGCATAAAAGAGAAGATTTAGAAAAATTGATTTCCAGGGGGTAGGCCAAATAAGTTTGGGAACCACTGCTTTAGGGTATCTTGATTTGGGGAAAGGGGTGGGCATTTTAAAAGCTACATTATGCCCTTTGCTTCTTTGGGGGTTACATACATGCAAAAGTAGAAAAACTGAGGATTTTAAACATGCTTTTAAAAAACAGAGAACATCTCTGTAGGAATCTCTGGGTTCTACAACATACAGAGTCAAGGCCTAAGAGGTTATTCTCACCTGCCGTAGGTATTGTCAGCTGGGCCATCATAGAATCCTAGAATTGGAAGAGACCTCGTGGGCCATCCAGTCCAACCCCATTCTGCCAAGAAGCAGGAAAATTGCATTCAAAGCACCCCCGACAGATGGCCATCCAGCCTCTGTTTAAAAACCTCCAAAGAAGGAGCATCCACCACACTCTGGGGCAGAGAAAGAGTTCCATTGCTGAACAACTCTCACCGTTAGGAAGTTCTTCCTAATGTTCAGGTGGAATCTCCTTTCTTTCCCGTAGTTTGAAGCCATTGTTCTGCACTCTAGTCTCCAGGGCAGCAGAAAACAGGCTTGCTCCCTCCTCCCTGTGATTTCCCCTCACCTCTTTATCCATGACTTTCACCATGTCTCCTCTCAGCCTTCTCTTCTGCAGGCTAAACATGCCCAGCTCTTTCAGCCACTCCTCATAAGGGTTTTTCTCCAGATCCTTTTAATCACCCTCCTCTGAACACATTCCAACTTGTCAACATCTCCCTTAAATCCACGCGGCCAATAAGTTTCCGATCCCAATTCAAGATGCAGGTTATGACCTACAAAGCCCTAAACAGTTCGGGCCCTGCCTAGATAGGGATCGCATCTCCCCTAATGAACCGGCATGGGCTCTAAAATCTGCCAGGGAGGCCATCCTCTCACTTCCACCACCGTCACAAGTACGGTTGGTAGCAACAAGGGAGAGGGCCTTCTCGGTGGTGGCCCCCTGACTTTGGAACTCCCTCCCCAGGGTGATTAGGCAGGCCCCCACACTGTTCTCCTTGTGCAGGGATTTGAAGACCTGGATGTTCCAGCAAGTTTTCGAGAATGATTAGTCCCCATGCCCAATTCCCAGGTAGCCAGATAGCAGTCTGTCCAGCACTTCATCCACTTCCCTAGCCCTATGATTTGCTGTTTATACTATCCCATGCCCAGCCCTCTTATAGTTGGCCACATCCATTTGTAACCCTGGCCATTGGTTTTGTTGAACTATAATGAAATGAGTTTTTAATATTTTTATCTTTGATGTGTTGTAGTAGAATCTTTTGTATTTTGTGATGTTTTCAGGGTTTTTTTGTCTGTTAAATTTAATTAGATCGTGTTATATTGTTGAATGTGTTTATCTCAATGTAATTGTCGTTATGGTTTCTTTATGGCAATTGAATGCTTACCTTGCATGTTGAGTCCCTTTGGGGAGATAGGCAGGTATAAAAATAAAGATGATAATGATGATGATGATGATGATGATGATTAAATTGCAGTGCCCAGAATTGGACACAGTGTGATTCCAGGAGTGGTCTGACCAAGGCAGACAAGAGGGATAGCATGACTTCCCTGGATCTAGACACTAGATTTCTATTGATGCAGGCCAAAACCCCATTGACTTTTTTATCTGCCGCATGACATTGTTGGCTCATGTTCTCCTTCCTGTCCATGAGAACTCCAAGAACTTTTTCACACATCCTGCTGTCGAGCCAGACATCTCTCCCCATTCTGTTTCTTTGCATTTCATTTTTTTCTGCCTAAATGGAGTATCTTGCATTTGTACCTGTTGAACTTCATTTTGTTAGTTTTGGCCCATCCTCACTTCTCTGTCTGCTATTCAGGGCCACTTGCTGCCATTCACTTCCAAACTCTCTCCTTCTTAGGCCCCGTCACTCACTGGTCAGCCAAGCGCCGGGCAGGGAAAGAAGATTGGTCACCGAGGAGTTGATGCATCCGGGGAAACGACATACAAGAAGGTACGATCCACTGGAGGCCTACCACATGCATCCTAGAGCCCTGCCTATCCTGGCTGATCAAAGAAGCCAGAGGGGGTTTGGCAGAGTGGGTTAAGGTGGTGGTTAATGCCTCCTTACAGGAGGGCAAGATTCCAGCCAGCCTAAAACAGGCTGTTATAAAACCGCTGTTGAAAAAACCATCACTGGATCCCACTCAATTAGTCAACTATCGGCCAGTTTCCACTCTCCCCTATTTGGGCAAAGTCATGGAACGCGTGGTGACCTCGCAACCCCAGGGGTTCTTGGTAGACACTGATTATCTAGATCAGGCACAATCTGGCTTTAGGCCGGGACATGGCACTGAAACAGCCTTGGTCGCGGGGAGCTGAACAGGGGGAGTGTGTCCCTGTTGGTTCTGCTGGACCTCTCAGCAGCCTTTGATACCGTCGACCACGGTATCCTTCTGGGATGCCTTGCAGGGATGGGACTTGAAGGTACTGCTCTGCAGTAGCTCCAGTCTTTCCTGGAAGGTCGGTCTCAGAAGGTGTTACTGGATGACACCTGTTCAATTCCACAACCGTTGTCTTGTGGAGTCCCTCAGGGTTCAGTACTGTCCCCGATGTAATTTAACATCTACATGAAGCCGCTGGGGGAGATCATCCGGAGTTTTGGAGTAAGGTGTTATCTGTATGCAGATGACGTCCAAATCTGTCACTCCTTCCCACCTGTTACTAAGGAAGCTGTCCAGACCTTGAACTGGTGCTTGGCTGCTGTGTCAGACTGGATGAGGGCTAGAAAATTGAAATTGAATCCAGACAAGACAGAGGTCCTCCTGGTCAGTCGAAAGACCGAACATGGCATAGGGTTACAGCCTGTGTTGGATGGGATCACACTCCCCCTGAAGACTCAGGTTTGCAGCTTGGGAGTGATCCTGGATTCATTGCTGAGCCTGGAACCCCAGGTTTCGGCGGTGGCCAGGGGAGCTTTTGCACAGTTAAAACTCATGCACCAGCTGCGCCCGTACCTTGGGAAGTCTGATCTGGCCACGGTGGTCCACGCTCTGGTTACATCCCGAATAGATTACTGCAACGCACTCTACGTGGGGCTGCCTTTGAAGACGGCTTGGAAACTTCAGTTAGTTCAACAGACGGCAGCCAGATTACTAACTGGGGCAGCATACAGGGAGCATACCACCCCCCTATTATGCCAGCTCCACTGTCTGCCGGTCCATCTCCAAGCCCAATTCAAAGTGCTGGTTTTGACCTATAAAGCTCTATATGGTTCTGGCCCAGCTTACTTGTGTGAACGCATCTGCCCCTATGTCCCACCTCGTAATTTAAGATCATCCGGGGAGGCCCTGCTCTCGCTCCCGTCAACAGCGCAAATTCGTCTTGCGGTGATGAGGAGCAGGGCCTTCTCGGCTGTGACCCCTCGCTTATGGAACACACTCCCAAAGGAGGTAAGATCTACTCCCTCACTCCTGAGTTTTAGAAAAAAAAAATCTTGGTTCTGGGACCAGGTCTTCGGACAATAGATCTATGCAGCTTTTAGTGGGACAAGGACTGGAACGGCGACTTGACTGTTGAGATTGTTTTACGGTTTTAATAATTGTTTTGATATTTGGTGATGTACTGTGTTAATATAATTTATGTCTAATGTGTGGTTTTACTGTTGTAGTTGTATGGCATTGAAGTTTGCCATTATCTATGTGTAAACCACTTTGAGTCCCCCTAGGGGTGAGAAAAGCGGTATATAAATAAATAAATAAATAAATAAATAATGTTAAGTGAGTTCATAGCTGACCAATGATGAGCAATGGCGGTTTCAATCTAGGAATATCTTCGGGGAAGGCAGGAGGAGTGGGCCTTTTTCTGTAAGGAACTCCCCTTGACCACATCCTCATTTGGCTCCCACAGACCACATCTACCACGCTCAAAGGGGCTATCCAGCTTGGGATTGGTTACACCGTGGGAAACCTCAGCTCCAAGCCTGAGCGGGACGTCTTGATGCAGGACTTCTATGTGGTGGAGAGCATTTTCTTTCCCAGGTGAGCTCATCCAGGGTGCGTGGGAGTCGGGGTAGAGTTTGTCTTCCTTTCAAGGTGTATCTCGTCATGGCTTCATCGTAAGGAATCTTTGTGTTTTGGTTTGACTGTTAAAATGTTGCACAGAAGAGCTATTTAGTTTAGAGCTATTCTTTGCTATATTACAAAGAGGGTTTGGGCACTTCGTAAAAGAAGTGTTTCTGTTTCTCCTTCCCAAATGCAGTGAAGGGAGCAACCTCACTCCGGCGCACCATTACCCAGACTTCAGGTTCAAAACCTATGCACCCGTGGCATTCCGCTATTTCCGAGAACTTTTCGGCATTCGTCCAGATGATTATTTGGTAATTATTTGTTTTCTCTTTCCAGATCTCCATTTAGTATGCCAAGCAATCAATGTCTGAAGCCCTCCTGCCATTTGTCTTTCTTAGTGGACTTTGCTTATGCTTTAAACTATCATTTCACTCCATAGCTAGTTCATAGTCCCTAAAAGTAACTTTGTAAAACTCGGCTTGCGGCTTGTCATTGGAGTCTCTGTATTAAACTTGGTAGCATACCCAAAATTATAACAAACTGTGGTGTATAAAATGACCTCCAGGTGTATACAAAACATGACTGAATTACATCTCCAAAGTATCTCAGATGCACACACAGGCAAAGACAGGTATTCCAAAATATGAAAAACTCTTCTGTTCCCAAGATAAGGGAGACCCAGATGAAGGCAATAATCATAATAGTCTGTTTTAGCGTAAGGCAAAAACAGGGGGAAATCTAGCACCACTATTGAGACAGTACATTTCAGCCTAAGCGAACTACCATATACTTGGATGAGGTAGCACTCCCCCTGAAGAACTAGGTTCACAGCTTGGGGTCCTGGATTCATCACTGAGCCTGGGCCAGGGGAGTATTTGCACAATTAAAACTTGTGTGCCAGCTGCGCCCGTACCTTGATAAGCCAGACTTGGCCATGGTTGTCCATGCTCTTGTTAAATCTCGAATAGACTACTGCAACACGCTCTACAGGTGGCTGCCTTTGAATACTGTTTGAAAGCTTCAAGTAGTTCAATGGGTGGAAGCCAGATTCCTTCTTGGAGTGGCATACAGGGAGCATACAATACCCCTGTTGTGTCAGCTTCATTGACTGCCATTTTTTTCTACCCAATTCAAAGTGCTGGCTTTGGGTTAGAGTTAGGGTTTGGCCTATAAACCAGTGGTTCCCAACCATGGACCACCAGTGGTACGTAAGAACAAAAATATGGTCCACGGCCTCACCATTGCCTCGAAACCATGCAACAACAAGAGTGACTGGTTTCGCGAAACCCTCTTCTAGTGCCGAGGCATCGGCGATATCGGGAGGGGAGAGGCTGACTACCCACGAAAGATTACTACTACCACATCAGCTCTAGATTATTAAATATGGGTTTCTTTGGGCGAGCAGATGGTGACTGCTGGATGGGATATGTTCTGTATCAGAAACTAGAGCTGATGTGGTCTATCCAATGCAGTTTTCTGAATCAGCACCCCAAATAACCAAACCAAATCTAAAGTTGATTAAAAACTGATTCGAAACCCTTTTGGTACTAAAATTGGAGAGTGGTCCCTGGTCAAAGGGGTCCCTGGTCAAAAAAAAAAAAAGTTGGGAACTACTGCCTTAAATTGTTCTGTTCCAACTTACCTGCCCAAACATATCTCCCTTTATGATCCAACTAGAACTTTAAGATCTGCTGGGGAGGTCCTGCTCTTGGTTCCACCCCCTTCACAAGTGTGACTGGTAGGGAGGAGAGACAAGGCCTTCTCAGTGTTGGAACCCCCTCCCCAGTGACATTAGACTGACCCCATCTCTCCTGGTCTTCAGGAAAGAGCTAAAGACCTGGTTTTGTACATAAACATTCGAGGAGCAGGGTAATACGGAATTCAACTTCAACCTAGCAGTCTGAACAATGACTATGGGAAAACCAAGAAGTATGGAAATCATGACTCGGCATTTTATATGTTTTTAATTTGTCTTATTGTATTTATGTTTTAACTGTTCGATAATTTAATATATGTTTATTGTTACTGTTGTTATGTGCACAATATGGCATTGAATTTTTGCCGTAGTTTGTAAGCCACCTTGAGTCCCTGTCAGGGTGAGAAGAGTGGTGTATAAATAAAAAAAATAAAAAAACAAATACTTCCTTAGGCTACAGCTTCCAAAAGTTTTCCCTGCTGGCTTTCTGAGAATCCAGAAGCTCAGGATCTTCCCCCGATTCTAAGTCGTCCCTGCCAGTTTTAGTTTCCTTCCTGCTCTCAAATACTCTCTTCCTCTTCTTTTCCTTTCTCCCAACTAGTATTCATTATGTAATGAACCTTTGATTGAGCTTTCTAACCCTGGAGCCAGTGGGTCTCTCTTCTACGTTACCAGTGACGACGAGTTCATCATCAAAACCGTGATGCACAAAGAGGCAGAGTTCCTCCAGAAGCTGCTACCAGGCTACTACATGGTGCGTGCCAGATTGGGTTGGGATGGAGTGGATGGACCACTGTCATGGTGGTAATAAGGACCGTGCCAGAAATGTTAAAAATTAACTAGGTATTTTGATTTCAAAAGTGTGAGTTAAGCACTGAAAGAGTTAGTAGGTCAAAGCCTGTTAGAGTCAGTGAGCCAAAGCTAGTGTTGTCCTGAGGAGAGTGAGGTAAACCTCTGTGTGAGAGAAGCCTCATGTGAGAAAGCTCCAGTGTGAAGGCTGCTGCATGTAAAGCTAGTATGTATTTGTTTATTCGTGTTATGGAAGCCTAGTTCTTCTAAATAGTGCAACCATATTATTTTGCTACAAAGAAAAGCCTCCTATGGAAGAGATAACATTGGTCCGTATGTTTTTGTTCTTTTTATCGCTTTGGGCTATTGGAGCTGGGTCATGCTGCTGCTGATAAGTTACTCTTCTGTGCATTTATGAAGAGGGTCTTTTGTTAATAAGCCCACTTGCCCAATAGACCGTTTATAAGCCAAAATGGGAAGGGATGAGCCCTGTAAACTATTCTGGGTCAGATTCTGGCTGGAGCTTTCCCTGTACCAAGTGAACTTTGCAAACAGGATGAAATCTCAGGATTACATGGAATAAGTGGTTTGGAACATTCAAGTTCATATCACCTGCTGAGTTTTCTGCACAATGCCCTGAAGTCAGAAAAATCAGAATGAAATTTCCATAGTATAGCCCTTGTAGTTGCAGAACTGGTATGAGCTTATAAAATACAGACTCTTTAGGCATTTTCTAATTCCTCAAACCATTCTGCAGCAAGCTTCCACTGGAAATTGACCTTTGAAGTTCTACTGGTGAATGACCTCTGCAGAGAGCTTGATAAGGGGAATGTGTCCTTGTTGGTTCTCTTGGAAATCTCAGCAGTTTCGACAATGGTATCCTTCTGGGTCAGCTCTCTGAAATGGGTCTTGGAGGCACTGCTTTGCAGTGGCTCCGTTCCTTCCTAGAGGATCGATTGCACCCAGTTGGTGATGCTGGGGGACACCTGCTTGGACCCTTGGCTTTTGACCTGTTAAAGTTAGTGGGCCAAAGTGAGTGTTGTCCTGAGGAGTGTGAGGTAAACCTCTGTGTGAGAGAAGCCTCATGTGAGAAAGCTCCAGTGTGAAGGCTGCTGCTTGTAAAGCTTCTATGTATTTGGTTATTCGTATTATGGAAGCCTAAGATTCATTCTATCCCCCATGCTTTTTAATATCTACATGAAACTGTTGGGCGAGGTCATCTGGAGTTTTGGAATTCAGTGCCATCTCTATGCAAATGACACTCAACTCTGTTACTCCTTTCCACTAAAATCCAAGGAAGCCCCCTGAATCCTGGACCGGTACCTGGCAGCTGTGATGGATGGGTGAGGACCAACAAGATGAGGCTTAATCCAGACAAGACAGAGGTCCTCCTGGTCAGTTGTGAGGCCGATCAGGGTCATAGGATAGCAACCTGTGCTCAAAGGGGTTACACCCCCCTGAGGATACAGGTCTGCAGTCTGGGGTCCCCCTGGACTCAGCACTGACGCTTGAAGCTCAGGTGTCAGTGATGGTCAGGAGGGCCTTCTTTGCACAGTTAAAACTGGTGTGCAAGCTTGACCATACCTTGAGAGGCCTGACTTGGCCACGTGGTCCATGCCTTAGTTACATCAAGATTAGTATTGCAACGCACTCAATGTGGGGCTGCATTTGAAGAAGGCTCGGAAACTTCAATTGGTACAAAGATTGGCAGCCAGACTACTATCTGTAGCTAGCTATAGGTAGTACACGATGATCCTACTAAAGCAGCTCTATTGGCTACCGATAAGTTTTCTGTCCCAATTGAAAGTGCAGATTATGACCTACAAAGCCTTAAACAGTGTGGATCCTGCCTCTCTTTGTGACTGTATCTCACCCTGTGAACTGGCGCAGGCTCTAAGATCTGCCGAGGAGGTCGCCCTCTCGGTTGCAAGCGCAGTTGGTGGGCACGAGGGAGAGGGCATTCTTGGTGGTGGCCTCCTGGCTCTGGAATGCTCTCTCCAAGGAGATTAGACAGGCCCTCACACTGTCCTCCTTTTGTAGGGACTTGAAGGCATGGCTCTTCAATCAAGCCTTTGAGATTGTTTAGTCCCATGTTGTCCTGAGTAGTAGTTGCACATCCTGCACTTTATCCCATGCCCTCTCTCCATTACTGCAGCTGGCACTTATTTTATTCCTAATGTTTACAGCTTGGCCAAGTTTACAGCAATTTACCACCACAGTTAGAGGACCGCAGTTTGATTGAGTCAGAGTTGATGTTTTATATGTGCATGTGTTTTATTTTACTGTATTTTATATTGTGCTCACTCTTATATTTTGTTTTTAGGCACTTTAGGCACCCAAGTCCCTTCAGGGAGATGGGGGCAGGATATAAGAAAAAAGATATTATTACTGTTATTACTAATGATTAGATAGGAATTCTTGCTAAGCATTTCCTAGGACTAGGTCCTCCTTCACAACTCTGTGGTAGGTCATTAGTTGAGTTGGTTTTTCTGCATATCTGCACAAAGTCGGAAGACATACTCCCCAAAGATACTGGGATCATACGGTAGAAATGAGAAGCAAAAGGAGGGATGAGAAGCCAGGGCATTTCAGTGGCCCTGCTAGGAAGGAGTTCCACCTTTTCTTCGCCTTTTCCCTGCTGTTTATTTTGCCATTTCCCCCTTCCTGTTGTTCGTAGAACTTGAACCAGAACCCCCGGACGCTGCTGCCCAAGTTCTACGGCCTCTACTGCGTTCAGTCTGGAGGAAAGAACATCCGGGTGGTAGTGATGAACAACATCCTGCCCCGGGTGGTGAAGATGCACCTGAAGTACGACCTCAAGGGCTCCACTTACAAGCGCCGGGCGTCCAAGAAGGAGAAGGAGAAGTCCAGCCCCACCTACAAGGACCTGGACTTCATGCAGGACAATGCGGAAGGCATCATGCTGGATGCAGACACCTTCAGCGCCGTGGTGAAGACGCTGCAGAGGGACTGCTTGGTAGGTCAGCTGCAGACTATATTCCATCCATCTCTCTAGAACAGTGGTTCCCAACCTTTTAAGAGACCATGGACCACTGAGACAAAAATTGGACCATCAAGATCAATCAACCCCTCTCCCCTCCACCCAAACAAAAATTAATGTAAAAAGTTTTTAAATAACTAGAATGTCTTCATCATCATATTAACACCTATATATATATATATATATATATATATATATATATATAATTTAGTGATATGAAGACAAAACACCATAATGAGACGTAATGAAAAAAATTAATGTGATTTTTGAGTTTGCATTTCTCAATGCCATGTGCATGTCGTGGCATTGAGTAATGGTAGACTGGATCTTGATAGTAGCAGACTCCCAGACTGGCTTTTGAAGCCTGAGTATTAGGCTCCTGTTCTTGGTCTTCAAGATCCAGCCTGGGAGAATAGGCTCCTGAGAGCTTTTCCTTCCACTGGCTCAGCCAAAGGGAGAAAGCGTGGCCACGTTCTTCCTTCCTTCACCTTTCTTCCCCACGAGGAGCCAGTGATGGAGTTTGAATGGCAGGCTTGGACCACCTCCTTGCAATCCAGGGTGAGCTCCTGACCTTCATCCCAGCTCCCCGCCCACCTAGCAGATCGAAAAGAGTAATGTGAGTAGTTGAATAGGACCCGCATCACGCAGGGAGGTTTTTTAAGCATGGCATTTCAAGGGAAGGTTTACAAATAAACAAAGCTTTTTGGCAAGGAGATGGAGCGACAGCACCTCCCTTGCTGGAACCAAGAACAGCCTCCAAAAGATGCCGAATGATGAGGAAAAGCCTATACATACCTCTATCTGTTGTCTGTCTTGTCATGTTATAATCAGCAGTGAATGTTTGCCATATATGTGTTCTCTTGATCCGTCCTGAGTCCTCTTTGGGGTAAGAAGGGTGGAATAAAACTACTGTAAATAAATATTTTGTTTCTTTTTGCCTTCTTTGTCCTTCACTTGTGCAGGTGCTTGAGAGCTTCAAGATTATGGACTACAGCCTGCTGCTTGGGGTCCACAACATTGACCAGCAGGAGCGGGAGCGACAAATGGACGGGGCTCAAAGTACCTCGGATGAGAAGCGCCCTGTGGGCCAGAAGGCCCTATACTCCACCGCCATGGAGTCAATCCAGGGAGGGGCCGCCCGCGGAGAGTCTATCGACACAGATGACACGTAAGTAGGATGCAATGACATCTCTGAACGTAAAACGTGTGCCCTCTTTGGTGGAATCGCTCAGCTGAAGATGGTTATATCCAGAGAGGGATTTAGACTGGAAAGTTGGAAGTACCAGAGTTTGGAAAAGGCCTACCTACTGTTGCTGGGAACCCAGCAATGGAAATGTTGTTTTCACAAGATCATCAGTCCATCTTGTACAATACACTGACCCAACTATAACTAAATCAGATTCCAACTATGAGGAAGAAGATTCCACATAAATGCTAGGAATACATTCTCAACTATAACAGTTATTCCACACTGATGGACTCTACTTCTTTGGAGGTCTTCAAACATCAGCTGGGTGGACATCTTTCAGGAGTGTTTTATTGCATTGTAGCATCTCTTGCCAATGATAGAACGTTCACGTTTTATTGTAAAGTTTGGGTGACAAAGAAATGTTGGCAAGCCACATCTGTTCTCTTTCCTCTTCAGGATGGGTGGCATCCCGGCTGTGAACGGCAAAGGGGAACGCCTGCTCCTTCACGTTGGCATCATCGATATCCTCCAGTCTTACAGGTGGGCGCCTAGAGGCCACGAAGCAACTGCACTAGTGATATCACCTGTGAATGGCATTTGGATGAACCTATGCAAAATTAGACCCACACATGTGGAAGGCTGACCGCATCATCTTTAGAGTTGGAAGGAGATGCAGTATGAATCTTTCTGCCAATTTCACACATTTCTAATCTCACTTTCTTTCTCTTTTGGCACAATCCAGGTTCATCAAGAAATTGGAACATACGTGGAAGGCTCTAGTTCATGATGGGGTGAGTTTTGACTACATTTCTGACTCGGCTTCAAAATATTTGTTTTCCCTTTTACTTGAGTATAAGCCAGGTTTTTCAGACCTTTTTTAAGGCTGAAAAAGCTCCCCTCGGCTTATACTCAAGTCAAGGTTATTTATTATTTTACTCTGCCATTATTATTATTTTATTACATTTATTATTTTACTCTATTATTATTTTATTTATTTATTTATTTATTTATTATTTACAATATTTATATTCCACCCTTCTCACCATGCAGGGGACTCAGGGCAGATTACAATGTACATATACATGGCAAACATTCAGTGCCATAGACACACAACATATATAGACAGACACACAGCTTTTTGATAAGGGTATTCTGGCCACCAGGGGAGCTGTCGCTTCACCGTCCATTTGTGACACTGATGAAATACTTCCTCATTCTTTGCATGCTTGCTAGAGATTTTTATGATGTCGTAAATTAGTTAAATTAGCCTCCCACATATGCGGTACCTAAATTTCCTACTTGACAGATGCAACTGTCTTTCGGGCTGCAAAGGTCGACAGCAAGCTGCACAAATTGATTGGAGGAAGCTCACTCCGACCCAAGCTGGCTTTGAACTCATGACCTTTTGGTCAGTAGTGATCTTAATGCAGCTGACTTCCAGCCAGCTGCGCCACAGTCCCGGTGCATGTATTATTTTACTCTATTATTGTTACTATTACATTTATTAGTTTACTTTTTTAATTATTACATTTATTTTTTATTCTATTATTGTTATTACTACATTTACCTTACTCTATTATTGTTATAATTACATTTATTATTTTACTCTATTATTCCTGTTACTATTACATTTCTATTATTTTATTCTATTATTATTACATTTATTATTTTGCTCTCTTATTATGGAAAGGATACAGAAGCACATTTACGTTGAAGAAGGTTATAATAATGATTTAATCCGAGTTCGACAGTTTTATCTTAAATTACACTTTTATGTGAATATTCAAAAACATTTAACCTACTGATGCCTCAATTAATGTAGTTTTATTGGTATCTTATTTTTATTTTGAAATTTACCAGTAGCTGCTGCATTTCCCACCCTTAGCTTATGGTCAAGTGAATGCGTTTTCCCAGTTTTTTGTGGCAAAATTAGGTGCCTTGGCTTATTTTCGGGTCAGCTTATACTCGGGTATCTATGGTATTTATTTATTTACAGTATTTATGTTCCACTCTTCTCACCCCAAAGGGTACTCAGGGCAAATCACAGAATACAAATACGGCAATCATTCAGTGCCGTTATACACTAAAAAGACAGACAACTGTACATAGATAGACAACTGTACATAGTTCCCATCTTCGGCAACTTGGAGGGTGCTCAGTTCTGGCCATAGAGGGGTACTGTCGCCCCATCTTCCTTGCCGAAGAGCTTTGTTCATAAAACGTCCTCCTTTGATCAAATCGCCAGCATTTTTCTGGCATTTCCTTATGGGTGCCTTAAATACCTCCTCACTTTAAAGTGGTACCTATTTATAATCTACTTGCATTTGTTTTCGAACTGCTAGGTAGGCAGAAGCTGGGCTAAAGGCCAGGAGTTTTGAACTGTCAATCTTTTGATTGGCAAGATTTATTGTAGCTAGTTGTTAACCTGCTGTTCTAAAGCTCAGAAAAGTATATGGTTATGTGTATCATTTCATAAATCCCACTACTCTAATTCCTGGCCTTGCTCCTGAAGGTTCACATTCGAGTTGGCTCTTCGTGTATGTCCAATTTGTCTATTGATTTAGAGCAGGGGTCCTCAAACTTTTTAAACAGGGGGCCAGTTCACTCTCCCTCAGACCGGAGGGCCGGACTATAGTTAAAGTAATACATGCAATAACAATAGGGAAAAATAATAAATGTAATAATAATATTAATAAATGTAATAACAACAATAGAGTAAAATAATAAATGTAATAACAATAATAGAGAATAATAATAATAATAATAATAATAAATAGAATAAAATAATAAATGTAATAATAACAACAAAACCAATAATAATCCAATAATCACCATAGTTTATTTTAACTACAGTATATGTTTTGGGGGAATGCTGTGTGTATATGAATGAGAAAAGTGGGAAAGACTGATTTGGGAAGGAGGTGGGAAAGAAAGCATGGGAAGGGGTGTTTGTAAAAGTGGGAAAATGAGGTGGAAAGGGGATAGCTGGAAAAGTAGGACGAATTGGAGTGGGAAGGAGCAAAGATTGAGGTGGATCGGTCTGGACTGCGGGCTGTAGTTTGAGGACCCCTGATTTAGAGTGTTCCTATGAATTTGAGAGATTTTTCTTAGACAAGGAATACTCTGAGATGGTTTGCCATTTCCTTCCTGTGGAACGGAGCATAGAGAACCTGCTATCCCATCCAAATTGTCACCAGGCCTGACCCCTGCTTATAAGTTTCCAAGCTCAGAAGGGATCTGGAGCATCTCTCTCTCCCTTGGCTAATGAGAGTTGCCATCGAAAAGCATCCCAAGGGCTCCCTCTTGGCGATATACATCCTAATTCTAGCACAGTCATAGTCATAGCAGGCAGCGGCAGAATCCAAAAAGGCAGCGAGTCACAGATTTATTTATAACTCAGCAAAGTGCAGTTATCTGATGCCTCCGCCAACCCATAGCTTTGCACGGCTTTGTCTCCGGGCAGCTGATAAAGCCTCTCCCACCAACCTCATTATCATCATCATCATTATAACACCCTTCTCTTTTCCCTGTTTCTGCAGGACACGGTTTCGGTCCACCGGCCCAGCTTCTACGCAGAGAGGTTCTTTAAGTTCATGACCAACACAGTCTTCAGGAAGAGCTCCTGTAAGTGCAAGACTTCTTTCCTCGTTCTGTTTCAGCCGTGCATCTAGGAGGGAGGCTTCTCCATTCTGGGGTTGTGATGCTCAAAGATTCCCATCATTCACAGCTGGCTGGGAATTGGTGGGTGTTGCTTTTCCGTGGGGCTGGTTGTCCTGTGGCCAGAGATATATGCAAGCACAAGTTTTCAGGAAATATAATCATAGACTTTAGAAGGGATTCTATTAATGAATGCTTTTCCTTCTGTGTCCACCTTGCTATGCACGGAAATAGAAGCAATCACCAGATTTATCTTTTTGTGACACCATTTTTGCCAAGGAAGTTTTTATAGGTATGGCAGTAGATCATTCTGATATGATTACCATATATACTCGAGTGTAAGCCGACCTAAATGTAAATGTGCGTATATATCCTTCCAATAACAATAAAGAGACTAAAATAATGTATGTAATAAAATATTAATAATAGAGTAAAACAATGGAAATGTTATAATAACAGTAATAATAGAGTAAAATAATAGATGTAATAATAATAAGAAAAGAGTAAAATAATAAATGTAATAGTAATAATAATAAATAGAGTGAAATAATAAATGTAATAACAATAACTGTTAACTGTCTTTTATACCGTGTGTTGATAGCATTGAATTTTTGCTGTTCTTGTTGTTAACCGCTGTGAGTCGCCTAAGGGCTGAGAACAGCGGTATAAAAATAAAGTAAATAATAAATAAATAAATAAATAAATAAATGTAATAATAAATAGATTAAAATAATAAATGTAATAGTAATAATAAACAGAGTAAAATGATAAGTGTAATAATAAATAGAGTAAAATAATAACMGTAATAATAACAATAGTAATAGAGTAAAATGATAAATGTAATAATYTAAYTAAAATAAAATAATGTAAATGTAACAACAATAATAAATAGAATAAATAAATGTAATAATAACAATAATAAATAGAGTAAAATAATAAATGTAATCTTGATAAAAATAATAAATGTAAACCTTGAAGGTGCTGGGGGTGGTGACGKCCGACAGGGAGCTCTGTCTTGGACTGGTCCATGAAGTCACGAAGAGTCGGAAACGACTGAACAAATGAACAACAATAAATGTAATAAAAATAATAGAGTAAAATAATGTAAATGTAATAATAATACATAGAATAATATAATAAATGTAATAATAGAGTAAAATGAGAAATGTAATAACAAATAGAGTAAAATAATAAATGTAATAAAATAATAGAGTAAAATAATGTAAATGTAATAATACATAGAATAATATAATAAATGTAATAATAGAGTAAAATAATAATTGTAATAAAATAATAGAGTAAAATAATGTAAATGTAATAATAATAATAATACATAGAATAATATAATAAATGTAATAATAGAGTAAAATGAGAAATGTAATAATAATAAATAGAGTAAAGTAATACATGTAATACAAATAATACTAATAAAAAGAGTAAAATAATAAATACCATTGATCGAGTATAAGCCAAGGGGGCCTTTTTCAACCTAAAAAAGGGCTGAAATACTCATCTTATACTCAAGTATATGCGGTATTTGCACTCTGGTTATTTTCAAACTTCCATTGGCTAATGAGACAGTGTGGCCAATGGAATTTGAATATAACCACAGTGGAGATAATTTTTGACTCACCCTTTGTAGATTGATTAATCATAGGAGACTTAGGGCGGTGATGGTCCCTTCTCGCTATGGAAACTGCCTGGCTACTGAGATGGCTAGAACGTACAATACATTGATATGTGGTCCAGAACCAGCCCATAGGCAAGAGGAATGTGGTTCCATCCTCTGAATACACAAACCTGTTATTTGGCCCTATTTTTCTTTTCCAGCCCTGAAAGCCTCTCCCTCCAAGAAAGGGAGGAGCGCCTTGCTAGCTGTAAAGCCATCCGGCCCAATGGCTGCCTTTTCAGCAAGCCAGATCCCCTCCGAGAAAGAAGAAACGCAGTATGACCTCCGGGGTGCCAGGAGTTACCCCACTTTAGACGACGAAGGTAAGGCCCTTCCCTTAGTTGACCCCTATTCCTTGGTGTGGCCTTTTCCAAATGGATGCGTTGGGCCTTAACTCCAGTCATTCACATTGGTTGGGGATGATGGGAGACATAGACCAATTGCTTTAGAGGATACTGAGTCGAGCCAAGGAGCTCCCAAGGGCAGCCAAATTGAAGGCCTTGCCCTCCCAAATAGGAATTGCGCCCTAAATTTACAGCATTCCAGAGAGTCCTTGAAAGCCATTCACTCTTCTCTTGGATGTTTACTTGGTTCCATTTTCCTTCACCTTTTACTTTGGGTGGCTAGTTTGAAGCTCTTTCAATGCTGCAAATGGTGGAGGGAGGGGTGGGAATGGGAAGAGGTGAAAATAATCCTCATATGTTAGGTACCGCCCTTGTTTTCCGTCAACTTTTCACTATGCTTTTGCAGGCGTGAAAGTTAACGATGATAAGAAGGAAGGTAAGAATGTGGATCCTTCTCTCTGTAAGTCAGTAGAAAGTAGTCCCAGGTGTCCCTTTGCCGCTCAGGGGACCAGAGATGGCGGTAGCATTGTGAGGATCGCTTTAAGATTCCCTTCAATTCAAACCTACACCAAGGCATTGATTCCACTTTATCTTCCTGATTGGGCTCTCAAAAGCTGTCTACAGTTCCCCGAACGGGAATGGCATCAGGGAGGAAATGGTTCTTAGTTGTAACCTCTATGTTTAGAAACCCCTGGTCATATTTAGGACATGTGATGTCATTTCCATCCTATGTGTTTGTTATTCCCTTAGAAACTATGTGAGTTGTTGAATCTCTCACGCATTTCCTTGTAGGCTTTGTCTTGTCTTCTCTGTTCTCTTTGCGGCCTTCTGTTATAAGAATTTAGTTAGTTTGCTTACAATGAGATGGGAAAGGTGCCGCACTGATATCTTGACTCATCTCCATAAGTGCGTATGTGTGTCGCCTTTCACTTCGTATGGTGTTTTTTTCCAATCCCTGGCATATATCTCATATTTATTTATTTATTTGCTGCATTTGTTTTCTTGCCTCTGAGGGGACTCAAAGTGGTTTTCAACATAATAATGGCAAAATTCAATGCTGTACATACACATGAAAACCAAAGCGTAATATCTAGACAGTAACATATAACTATAAATTAGACACATTAACCATCTTAAAATATAAAGCATAAACAACATTTAGACATTAAAACATAGAAATAAAACATCGTAGTACAAGCATTAAAATCACATAATCCAAAAACATAATCTGAAGCCATTCCAATTGTTGATTGCACATATTCCCTATTCAATTCCTGCACTCCTCACTGACCAAAAGCTTGGTCCCGCAGCTATGTCTTTGCTCTCTTTCTGAAGATGAGGAGGGAGGGGGCTGATTTAATCTCACTGGGGAGGGTGTCTACAACCAAGGGGCCACCACCGCAAAGGCCCTCTGTCTTGTCCCCACTAATTGCACCTGCAGCAGTGGCGGGCCCAAGAGCAGGACCTCCCCAGCTGATCTTAATGCTTTAACTGGCTCATAAAGGGAGAATCCAGGAGAACTCCCTAGCTGCAAACCTGTCTCTTCAGGGGGAATGTGACCCCATCCAGCACTAGGTTTTAACCCTATACCCTGTTCGGCCTTTCAACTGACCAGGAGTACCTCTGTCTTGTCTGGGTTCAGTTTCAATTTGTTTGCCCTCATCCAGACCGTCACAGCTGCCAAGCACCAGTTCAGGACCTGAACGACCTCCTTAGCAGCAGGTGAAAGGGAGGAATAGAGCTGGACGTCATCTATGTACAGATGACATCCAACTCCAAAACTCCGGATGATCTCTCCCAGTGGCTTCATGTAGATATTAAACAACATGGGGGAACAATACTGGAACCTGCAGTACCCCACAGGACAAAGGCTACGGGGCCAAGCAGATGTCCCCCAACAACACCTTCTGGGAATGACCCTCCAGGAAGGACTGGTGCCACTGTAAGACAGCACCTCCCAGACCCATTCCCACGAGGTGTTCCAGAAGGATACCATGATCTACGGCAGGGGTCCTCAAACATTTTAAACAGAGGGCCAGGTTACAGTCCCTCAAACTGTTGGAGGGCCGGATTATAATTTGAAAAAGCATGAATTAATTCCTATGCACACTGCACATATCTTATTTGTAGTGCAAAAAAAATACTTAAAAACAATACAATAATTAAAATGAAGAACAATTTTAACAAATATAAACTTATTAGTATTTTAATGGGAAGTGTAGGCCTGCTTTTGGCTGATGAGATAGGATTGTTGTTGTTGTTGTTGTTGTTGTTGTTGTTGTTGTGTGCTTTCAAGCTATTTCAGATTTAGGATGACCCTGAGCGAGGGCCAGGTAAACGGCCTTGGAGGGCCATATCCAGCTCCCGGGCCTTAGTTTGAGGACCCCTGGTCTACGGTATAAAAGGCCACGGAGAGATCGAGGAGAACCAGCAGGGACACACTCCCCCTGTCCAGTTCCCGGCGTAGATCATCCACTAAGGCGACCAAGGCTATTTCAGTTCCATGACCCTGTGCTGGATCCAGATAATCAGTTTCCTCCAAGAACACTTGAAGTTGAGCGATCACCACACATTCCATGACTTTGCCCAAAAAGGGGAGATTGTGGATTGGCTGAAAGTTGTTCAAATGAGTGGGGTCCAGTAATAGTCTTTTCAGCAGCATCTTTTATGATGGCCTCCTTTAGGCCCGCTGGAATCTTGCCTTCTTGTAAGGAGGCATTAACCACCACCTTCACCCACTCTGCCAACCCGTCTGGCTTCCTTTGCCAGCCAGGATGGGCAGGGGTCTAGGAAGCATGCGGTTGCATCCCACTGTGTAGAATGATTTTAATAATAATAATAATAATAATAATAATAATAATAATAAATTTATTACCCACCTCTCTCATCAGCTCAATGCGGGGCATAACATAGTTAAATACACCTATTAAATCACATAATAAAACATAGTTAAAAACTTTTGGAATGCATGCTATTGTATAAGTGGACCTTATTTGTAAGTTAACGGTGGATTTTGGGGCCAGACTTATGGATCGTTCTATGGAGAAAGGAGAGAGCCAACTACCATTGTGTTGCTCCTGTGGATAGATAACAGTTTCCGTGTTGTTTTCCCCCTCCTTCCCACCTTGTGGATGCCACAGGCCGTCCCGACCTGCTCCCTTGCACTCCTCCTTCTTTCGAAGAAGCAACCACGGCTTCCATTGCTACGACACTCTCCTCCACGTCTCTCTCCGTCCCTGAAAGGTCTCCTTCAGAGTCTTCAGAGCAGCCCCGGTATAGGTAAGAGTCTTATTTGTGAAATGCTAGCGGGGTCTCTTGCCCTGCAACTTGGATAAGGATCACCCAGAGTGTCAGCTGCTGAGGGGATGGGAGAAAGGAGACAGATCTTGAGTTAAGTCTTTGAGCTTGAAACGAACCTTGGCCCCTTGTTGTTTTTTTTTCACAGGCGGCGTACACAGTCTTCCGAGCATGATGGAAGGTGAGCCAGAGCTGGCTGTGCGATTCCAGACACTGTGGTTCCCAAAAGTGACTTTTCCCAAGTTCTTGTTACTGTGGTGTGTCCTCGAACAGTCTCCCACACTTATCATACAGTTTCCTTGGCCAGGTTTCATCAGAGGCCAGGAGAGAGTGAGACTTGCCCAAAGTCATCTAGTAGGTTTCCATGGCTGAATGGAACTCCCTCAAGAACTACTCCTCCATGCTCCCTCTCTTTCTTCACTTCACTTCACTTCACTTTATTTCTTAATTAGTCACTCTCCACCAAGGTGCTCCGAGTGACTTACAATTTATACTCTACTCAAGCTCATTATGGGAGACCCTCTACATGTTACTTGGTTATTTGCAAATTTGATTAGTACAGACTCTGTAGGTCCTTCAGTGCAACGCTGATGATCAACTTCTGCCATAAAGTTGTTCTGAAAGATCTATTTATTATTTATTTATTTGGGGTACTTCTACCCCGCCCTTCTCAACCCCCGGGGGGACGACTCAGGGCGGCTTACAAAAAAGGCACAATTCGATGTCTACACAAGATACACATATGTACAAAACAGCAGTTAAAACAATTATCACAGTTAAAAACAATCGGTACATAACACAATCAATAAAACTAATCTCATGCTCAGCGTTCATCTTTCAGAGTTCRATAATTCCATTCCYCTTAGTCAATTCRTGTCCATRYTCAAAGTCCTTTCTTTAMCTGCCAGAWTGTCCGAATGCCTGGTCCCAAATCCAWGTTTTCAATTTTTTCCTAAAGGAAAGGAGGGATGTCGCTYATSTAATTTCCCRGGGGAGTGAATTCCACAGGTGAGGGGCCACCACCGAGAAGGCCCTGCTCCTCGTCCCCACCAATCTCACTTGTGATAGAGGCGGGGTCGAGAGCAGGGCCTCCCCAGAAGATCTTAGACTCCAAGGTGGGATGTAGAGGGAGATCCGTTCGGACAGATACACTGGGCCGGAACCGTATAGGGTTTTGTAGGACATCAGCACAGCTCTGGGCCTAGGGATTCCTAGAGATGCATTCTTTTGGCCTTTTTCMTCCTCAGGATTTCCTACTTTTGGCAGGGGTCCCAGCTGAAAGTGGAAGGCAATATTCCTCCGCCCCGAATCACATGCTTTCTTTGGCCCCAAATCTGTAGGTCTCGGGAACAGATCCGGGGAGAAGATGAGCTCCAACAGATCACGGTGGAGCTGAAGCCCAAGTGTGACGTCGAGATCGCGATACCCGACATGGCTGCCGCAGGGTGAGAATGAGAGTATGCTTTTGCCTCGTGGCACCCATTTTGCATGCAGAAGGTTCCAGATCCAGTCCTGAGGCTGAATCTGGCCATCCTGGGCTCCCAATATGTCTTTTCAGGTGTTCTCGTCCCTTTCCTATTACACCAGCATTTGGGGGTTTTGCACCAGCATCTACAGGTTCTCTGGTGCAAACAGAAGTTCACTATGGAGTCTCATAGTGATTTTCAGATAAAAGCAGTAGGTTTCCCTATTTTTATGGGTGTCCTACACCCTTAACCCTAGTCAATGTGGAGAGCCAAGTGTCATATTTTAAATAGCTCCCTTTTCAATGCAGAGACCCTAGACTTCCTTCAAGGGTTTCTCTGGACTAGAAAGGTTTGAGAATAGTGAGGATGGGTCAATCTGCAACATCCCTGCAGTGTTTCAAACAAGTCTCTTTCGAAGAGAACTAGATAGGGGCCCTGCTTGTTCTCCTGGACCTCTCTGCGGCATTCGATACCATCAACCACGGTATCCTTCTGGGTCGTATCTCTAGGATGGGGCTTGGGGGCACTGTCTTGCAGTGGCTCGGGTCCTTCCTGGACGATCGGACCCAGATAGTGGTTCTGAGTGTCTCCGGTTCAACTCCCTTCATGGTGGCCCGTGGGGTCCCTCAGAGTTCAATTCTGTCCTCCATGCTGTTTAATATTTACATGAAACTGCTGGGAGAGATCATCCGGAGTTTTGGGGTTTGGTGTCAAATCTATGCAGAAGACAGCCAACTCTACTTTCCAAGAATGCTGTCCTGGTCCTGAACCGATGCCTCCTCCAAATAAAGGTGAATTTTCCCCAAAGACCTCCAGAATTTTTTGCTGGACATGGGGGTTCTGTGTGCCAAGTTTGGTCCAATTCCATCTTTGGTGGAGTTCAGAGTGCTCGTTGATTGCAGATGAACTATACATCCCAATACCTACAACTCCAAAATGTCCAGAACAATTCCCTTCAAAACCCACCAGTACTCAAATTTGGGCATATCGGGTATGCATGTCGAGTTTGGTCCAGATCCAACATTGTTTGGGTTCATAGTGCTCTCTGGATGTAAGTGAACTACAACTCTTATGAATCCCTCCAAAGACCTCCATTATTTTTTGCTGGTCATGGGAGTTCTGTGTGCCAACTTAGTTCCAGGTCCATTGAGTGAATTCTCTCCAAACCTCCCTAGTATGTTCATTTGCTGATCAATTCCTCTGTTCGCTGTGTGCCATAGAAAAGAATAGGAAAGGGTTAAGGGAGAGGCAATGGACGGGGTCATGCAAATACCACACCAATGGAGAGAGTCAGAAACACTGGGATGTTTGCTGGGAAGGAAACAAATAAAATCTAGGATAATTTTTTTCCATATGAAAGCCTTCACTTGGGTGGGGGGCAGTATGGGGTTTGTGGAGGACATTGTCAGGGCTCTTGGACATGTTCATGGAGCTCTCTATAACCTGCAATGTCATGGGGCGGGCAGTTTAGTGTCTCCTGAGTAGTGGGAGCTATAGCTGTTTGTGGAGGCAGGAGCTTGTCTAAGTGGACACCCCAGTCACATACACACATACATATTTTCACTTTTATTAGGTGTATAGATAGATGGTTGTCATAATCAGGCCTTGAATGTTTGCCTTTTTGTGATTGGGATCCGCCCTGAGTCCCTTTGGGGAGATAGGACGGAATGCAAACAAAATTTTATCATTATATTATTATTGCCACGAGGAACAAAGCTGGAAGTTTTCCACTGCAGAGATACCTCTTTTTTTTGCTGCTGGAATCCCCATCACCCCCCCATTCTTTGTCCCTTTTGCAGGGATACTGCCTCTGTCGCGTGTGCTGCCGCGTTACCATCTGCAATGGCAGAAGTGGAGACAGCCAGCCAGGCTTCCGAACCAGCCAGCCAAGCTTCGGACGAGGAGGAGTTGCCAGTCCCAGATATTTATTTTGTAAGTGGACCTTTAAAAATATACACTTCTTTTCGGTGCCCCTTTTTCAGCTTCATCCTCGAGGGGTCAAGATGGAGAACAGTCAGGGAGCCTCAGGACGAATGGACTCAATTTTTTTGATTCAACATGAAATTATCATCCCTTGATTCGTTCATTTCATTTAAGGGTCTTGGCTGGCCCCAGTTCCTTTATTTATTTAAAATATTTCTATTCCACCCTCTCACTGTGAAGAGAACACAGGGCGGATCATAGGACACATATACGGCAAACATTCAATGCCGTTATACACGGACAAGACAGACAGCTGTACCAAGATAGGGGTATATATAGGCTTTTCCCATCTTTGGCATCTTGGAGGCTTGTGCTTGGTTCCAGCGATGGGGGGTGCTGTCATTCTGTTTTCCCTGTTGAAGAGCTTTGTTTGTAAAGTTCCTCCTTGATTGAATTGCCAGCATTTCTGGCATTTCCTTATGAGTGCCTAAAATACCTCCCAGCTTTTAAAGCGGTACCTATTTATCTACTCACAATTGCCATTTTTGATCTGCTAGGTTGGTAGGAGCTGGGCTGAAGGCCAGGAGCTTACCCCGACCTGGGCTTTGAACTGCCAACTTTCCGATTAGCAAGGTTTGCTGCAGCTGGTGGTTAACCTGCTGTGCTAAAGCCTGGCACCTTTGAGAGTATGGGGAATACATCATCAGACTAGGATTCTGGGAGATGTAGAAACATTTCCCAAGCTCCAGTTTCCTTCCTCATGGGTTGTACAGCAGTTCCAGGAAGGATCAATGCTATGGTTGTTCTGGGAATGGTAGGCAAATTGATTCGTTTCCTTCCCACCTCTCCCGCAGGTGGACACAGGTTTGGAGGAGGAGGTCTAGGGAGACCGAGACGGGGAGTAAGTCAGCCAGGGGTGTGCTGTGCATGTGTGTGTGTGTGTGTGTGCTGTTGAGACGGGTGGGAGGGAAGCCATCTTGGGCCCGGTTCGTTCTGTTAGCGCTTGGCAAACACAAAGGGAGTCCCAGAGGGACGGAAACAAGGCTGTCATTCATGGATACTTTTTAAATCTTAAAAATGTTATTTAATCTGTTTTCAGCAAGACAGATTGCATTAGGCACTTTCAGAGAAAGAAGGATACTCACAAACCCAGTATTTATTTATTTTATTTCCTGTATTTGTACCTTGCCCTTCTCACCCTGAAGGGGACTCAGAGCAGCAATAGGCAGCAATTCGATGTCATATCAACAAACATAATAGAAATAAACATATACATTAAAAACATTCAATTAAAAAGCAATAGTAAAAGGTAAATATTTCCTGTGACATTAAGTCTAGTAACATCAAACTCTGGGGGCTGGGACTCATTTCCATTTCTAAACCAAATAGCCAGTGTTGTCTGTAGACGCCTCCAAGGTCATGTAGCTGGCATGACTGCATGGAGTGCTGTTACCTTTCCACAGAAGCGGTACCTATTGATCTACTCACATTTGCATGTTTTCAAACTGCTCGGTTGGCAGAAGCTGGGGCTAACTTCTCGGACTCGAACCACCAACCTTTCGGTCCGCAAGTTCAGCAGCTCAGCAGTTTAACCCACTTCGCCACCAGGGGGCAATATAAACATTAAAACCAGTTATTAAATCCAAACAATTTGAAATCATAATCAGGGCCATTCCAGTCATGATTCTACATAATCCATCTTCACTTATTGCACTGCATTTCTATCCAAAGGCTTGGTCCCAGAGCCATATTTTTAATTTCTTTCTGAAGGTCAGGAGGGAGGGGGCTGACTTGATTTCGCTGGGGAGACAGTTCAACAGCTGAGGGGCCACCACTGAGAAGGCCCTGTCCCTTGTCCCCACTGACTGCACCTGCAAAGGTGGGACCAAGAGCAGAGCCTCTCCAGACGATCTTAATCTCCAAGGTGGTTCATAGATGGAGATACATTCAGATAGATAAGCTGGGCCAGATAAGTTGGGCCAGAACAGCCACTGCAGATCAATTCAACCAGAGAAGTCAGCCATAACAGAGCACCCGATGAACCAACCTGGACACAGCAGATTATTTGAGAACACAGAAACCCTGGACCAGTCTACCATCCATCATGACTACACAGAGAAACCATTGAAATCCACAAGCATGTGGACAATTGCATCAGAAAGGAGGAAACCTTGAAAATGAACAAAATCTGGCTACCAGTATTAAAAAATTCCAAAATCAGGACAGTAAATAAAGAGCAACACTCAAAAAACAGGGAAATTCCAGACAGGAAACAGTCAGAGCCAACTAACACCTCCCAACAAAGGGCCCCCCCAGGCAGCAACCAGCCATGCTTTGAAGCTGCAAGGCAATTCAGTGCTAATCAAGGTAGCCAATGGCAGCATTCACACTTGCCTCAAAGAGTTCTTTCTCCCACACTGGACATCATTCCACAGATATATAAACCCCACTTGTCTAGTTTTCAACAGATCTCACAACTTCTGAGGATGCCTGACATAGATGTGGGCGAAACCTCAGGAGAGAATGTTTCTGGAACATGGTCAGACAGCCTGGAAAACTCTCACAGCAACCCAGTGATTCCGACCATGAAAACCTTCAACAATACATGTTTATGTGTATTTACACCCCGCTTTTTCTCTCCATGAGGAGACTCAAAGCAGCTTACATTAAAAAAACATTTTAATACAATTGAAAATCTACAAATATAGAAACATTCAAACGGAATTAAATATCATTAGGATTAAAATCCATAAAAGAGATTCAAAACTGTTTTGGCCTCCTGAGCCATTCTGGAGACCTTAGAGAAGTCGGGAGGGAAGTGAACAGACGTATCTGTACGCTCCAGGTCTCAGCGGAAGGAACTCGTTTGCAGTTGTTTGGAGTGCTGCTTTTCGAAGGCATTAACTTTGAATAAAAAGGCGCTTGGTGTGGCTTTGAGATGCATGAGAGTTTGAAAGTGGCCCTTTGCTTGTCTGCTGTGGTTTGAGGGCACTATCAGAGGATGCTTCTAGGGCAGGCATGGGCAAACTTCAGCCCTCCGGGTGATTTGGACACCAACTCCCACAATTCCTAACAGCCGGTAGGCTGTTAAGAATTGTGGGAGTTGAAGTCCAAAACACCTAGAAGGCCAAAGTTTGCCCATGCCTGTTCTAGGGATTTCTAGATCTTTTGGGACCACTCTTTGGGTATCCTCAGACCAAACCTTAGGTGATTTGGTGGCATTCGGTGATGTCCACAATTGTCAGGAACTCCATACTCCGTACCATGCATGTCTTGTCTATGGGAAATCCTGATGCTGTGAGGCTCTAGCCAAAGCCTTCCTCTGACGCTGGGCTCTAGCAACATCCTTTCCTCTGGACTTTGTCTCCCATGCTCATACATGCTCACCCTGTCCAGCATCATTATCATTTGTTTATTTTTCTTTCGCCCTTTCTCATCTTCCTTCCTTCCTTCCTTCCTTCCTTCCTTCTCCCCTCTTTTTTTCTCCCATTCTTCTTCATCCTGCCGCATCCCTCACTCATCCGCATCCAGTTCACAGACGGAAGGTACTGGATTTACTCCCCTCGCCTGCGCAGGCTCCGGGCCACCTCAGTGTCCTCTGAGGATGTAAGTGTACTCGCCAGCAAATACAGCTGGCTTCGAAAGGCCTCTTTGAACGCTAACCTTCTACTCGAATTCCCGTGGTTCCATCCCATTGGATCCTGGATTTTGTAGTCTTTTCTAGAGTTCTTAGGATGACAGACACTCATCTTCTACTTCTGTTTTTTTCTTCTCCTTTTTCTTCTGCTAAGGCCCATTCTGCAGTGTTCTTATATCCCAGGAGCTGATTCCAGGCTATCTGCCTTGAACTGCCTTGAAAATAGGAGTCTCCATTGCCATATAATCTGGGAAATCAGATAATCTGGGATCAGATCCTGGGTTGTTCCATGCCAAGTGGTCTAAACCTTTCCACCATCCTGTCTCCAATTTTGTTCAAATTTTAGAGAAAATTTTGATCTACAAGATTGATATGTTTTAATGTATTGTCGAAGGCTTTCATGGCCGGAGTCACTGGGTTGTTGTAGGTTTTTTCGGGCTATATGGCCATGTTCTAGAGGCATTCTCTTCTGACATTTCACCTGCATCTATGGAAAGCATCCTCAGAAATAGTGAGGTCTGTTGGAACTAGGAAAAAGGGTTTATATATATGTGGAATGACCAGGGTGGGACAAAGGACTCTTGTCTGCTGGAGCTAGTTGTGAATGTTTCAGCTGACCACCTTGATTAGCATTTGATGGCCTGGCAGTGCCAGCAAAACAACAGAGAGGAAACAATCTGGGACATCTAATCACCTCTCAACAAAAGATTGCCCCAGGCACTGCCAGGCCATCAAATGCTAATCAGGGTGGTCAGTTGAAACATTCACACCTAGCTCCCGCAGACAGGGGTTCTTTATCCCACCCTGGTCATTCCACAGATATATAAACCCTTTTTCCTAGTTCCAACAGACCTCACTACCTCTGAGGATGCTTGCCATAGAGGCAGGGAAAATGTCAGGAGAGAATGCCTCTAGAACATGGCCATATAGCCCGAAAAAAACTACAGCAACCCATTGATATGTTTTGTTTTGCAATGTGACCTTATTTACTCAGGTCAAAGTATGTTACATTTTGTGCATTTATACATTATGCTTTATGCATTGTCATGGACCATTTGATTGGCCGCTAAGATGTGATACTTGCTGGATTCCAGAACAAGTTATCATTGCTTTTGTACCAGCTCCGTCAGTGACATCATCTGGTCGGCAATATAGTTTCCCTGAAATCATTCTCTTGCAGATCAGTGATCCTTTCAGAATGATGAAGACAAGCTTGGGAACCTGCAGTAAAAAAAACTCACAATCAGGCTTGAGATCCTGCAATAAAAATGCCCACCCGTGGCTGTTACTGCATTTATTGATTTATTTACAGCAGCATTTCTCAACCTTGGGGTTGAGGTCCCTGGAGGGTCATGAGGGGGTGTCAGAGGGGTCAGCAAAGACCATCAGAAAACACAATATTTTCTGTTGGTCATGGGGGTTCTATGTGGGAAGTTTGACCCAATCCMGTCGTTGCTGGGGTTCAGGATGTTCTTTAATTGTAGGTGAACTATAAATCCCAGCAACTACAACTCCCAAATGTCAAGATCTGTTTTCTCCAAACTCCGCCATTGTTCACATTTGGGCATATTGAGTATTCGTGCCAAGTTTATTTATTTATTTATTTATTAACTTCTTTTGTATACCGCCTATATCAGCCAAGGCGACTCTAAGCGGTTTACAGTGAAAACAACATTCAACAATGCAAGTGACAAACAACACAAACAAACACATAACGTCATCGGCCTCAATAAAATCAGATCCAATCTCGTAGTCCATTAGCCATTCCAGARCCATCGTTGTTTGAGTCCACACTGCTCTCTGGATGTAGGTGAACTACAACTCCAAAACTCAAGYTCAYTGSCCACCAAACCCTTCCAGTATTTTCTGTTGGTCATGGGAGTTCTGTGTGCCAAGTTTGGTTTGATTCCATCATTGGTGGAGTTCGGAATGCTCTTTGATTGTAGTTTAACCTTCCTAATGCCGCAACCCCTTAATACAGTTCCTGATGTTGTGGTGACCCCCAACTATAACATTATTTTTGTTGCTAATTCATAACTGTAATTTTGCTACTTTTATGAATCATAATGTAAATATCTGATATGCAGGATGTATTTTCATTCACTGGATCAAATTTGGCACAAATACCCGATACGCCCACATTTTAATACTGGTGGGGCTGAGGATTGATTTTGTCATTTGGGAGTTGTAGTTGCTGGAATTTATAGTTCATGAGGGGTCCCGACCCCCAGGTTGAGAAACGCTGAGCTGGAATAACAGCAATGATAAGTTGTTCTGGAATCCAGCAAGTATCTTGTCTTAGCAGCCAATAAAATGTACTAGCAGGACCATAAATGCACAAAATATAACATACTTTCACCTGAGTAAACGGATGCTTAATGGTTGCATTGCAAAACAAATACGTATCAGTCTTGTAGAGCAATTTTTTTCTGTTTCCAATGATACTATTCACAAGTATATTCAGGTAGACTCTTTTTTAATAATTGGTTTTGAACTTTGGTAAATTTTACCATTTGTGCTGACAGTGTCAAATTTGAAGAGATCCTGCAGGGTGGTTATAGATGCTGGATAGTTGCACTTTTGTTTATTTATTTATATACCACCCTTCTCATCCTGAAGGGGACTCAGGGCGGATTACAGAATACATACTCAGCAAACATTCAATGCCGTTAGACATAACAGGGCAGACAGACAGATAGAGGTATGTGTCTCTGCATTTTTTTCCAACTTCAGCATCCTGGAGGTTATGCTCGATTCCAGGGGGGTGATCTCGCCCCATGCTCTATGATCACAGACTTTCCTCTTGTTCTTTGATCACTGACTTTTTTTTATGATGCTGTAGAATACCTCCCAGATTAAGCAGTCCCTAATTTCTCTACTCACAGCTACAGCTTTTTTTGAACTGCTTAGGTGGACAGTAAGCTGGGCTGAAGATCGGGTGCTCACCCTGACCCGGGCTCGAACTCCCAACCTTTCGGTTGGGAAAGATAAATTGCTGCTAGTGATTAACCAGCTGTTCTAAAGCCCGGCCCAAATCTGGCAGTATTATGTGTAGCACAAGCATAATGGTTACAAGTTCGTAACTTTGTTTGCATGGCAATTGTTGCAATCTGAATATTGGTCAAAATTTGTCACAACTTTTGATGCACACTTTGAGTCAACTTGTCTGACTAGATTTTGCATTCATAATGTTAAAATTCATTTCATCGGAATCAGCAGAAAAAAACTGTACGGGGTCTCAACTTACTAGCCATTCTTATAAATTAGTTTCAATTTTATTAGACCCCCAAAATGGCATTTTGTTAAATGTCATGTACATGAAGCCTGACTATCCTTCAGGTTAGAGAGTCTAGATCAGCAACTATTGCAGTTAGAGACCTCACATTTTGGTAAACTTAGTTTAACGCCTGATTGGCGCTACAGCTAAAAGTTGAACAAAACTGGAGAACATAATGGTGGGAACTTCTTTTATTTTAGACCACTTGGCATGGAATGACCCTCCTGGGATATAAGGACAATATAGAAGGGGCCTTAAGTCCCTCAGCTGCCTCTCCCAGGATCCCATGGGATGTGAAACAGGGCCACTGAAGTGGAATAATCAGAGAGAAAGCTGAGTTATGGGCCCTTTGCAAGCTTTGAGCTAAACTACGCTGATATTCTTTGTTAAATCCCACCCCTGACTGATGCTGCACCAGCAACCCCAACAAAACATCTCCAAATTTGAATTTCAGCAGATTAAATCTTAAGATGTTCCTTGCTCTTAATTTACAGAGAGTGTTTTTTTAAAAAAAAAAGAGAATTGCATTATTTCTTTTCAAACATTGTGGGTAGGGGATGATGTCCAGTTGTCGTTCAAAGCTCCCTTCCCTGTTTAGAATAGCCCTTTGCCCAGCCAATACTAATAAGATAGCAAATTCCAAATTAATAGATTATGCAGTCCAGTTGGAACATTATCCAAAGAGCCTTCTCATCCTCCCAACGAGTCTTGAAGGAAGGGTATTCCTTATTTATTTATTTATTTATTTATTTACAGTATTTATGTTCCGCCCTTCTCACCCCGAAGGGGACTCAGGGCAGATCACAGAACACATATATGGCAAGCATTTAATGCTGATTATACAATGACAAGACAGACAACAGATAGGGGTATATATAGGCTTTCCCCACCTTTCTGCATCTTTAGAGGCTGTGCTCGGTTCCGGCCACAGGGGATGCTGTTGCATCATCGCCTTGCCAAAGAGCTTTCTTTGCTTCGCAAACTTCCTCTTTTTTCTGACCGAAACACCATACCTAAAATACCTCCCCACTTTAATGCAGTTCCTATTTATCTACTCACATTTGTTTTTGAACTGCTAGGTAGGCAAAAATTGGGCTAAAGGTCAGGCGCTCACCCTGACCTGGGCTTCGAATTGTCAACCTTCCAGTTGGCAAGATTTATTGCAAGATTTTACAATCGGAACAGACTCATACCGGGCAATAGGGTCCCTTAGATAGGTTAAAACAAACTAAGGGTTACATTTGGAGCCTTATCTATTCAAAGGAAGCAGCTGGCGAACACATGGTGACTTGATCAGATACAAACCGAGGTGAGAGAGTTGGCTGTGGGTTTCAGGCTTCTGCTTTCTCTTCCCTCTTTCCCATTCCTCTCGCTTCCCCTTTCTTTCTTGACTTTGTGCTCTTTTTTCCCTCTTCTCTGTCTCTCCTTGCCTCCTCTCGCTTTCTGCTTTGCCGTCCAGCCGCCGACAGATGAGCGGAGCTGGGTCTATTCTCCTCTCCACTATAACACTCAAACCCAGTCAGTCTCCGACGCAGAGAGTGATACAGTAAGTGGCTTTCCTTTCTTCTAAAACGTGCATGGGCTTTTGGGGGCTGGGAGAAGGCTGGCTTCCCAGGGATTGAGTTTAACCTGCCACTGTTGCACCCCAGGCCTGAAGCCACCTATGACCACAGCACCACACAAGAGTCCAGAGTATAAGTAAACAGTTCGTTGCAAAAACACATAAAAATATCTAAAAAAAGAAGGGAGAGGAATAATCCCAAAACAGGTTTAGCAATAGGTGATAGCCACACAGGAATCCAAATGTCTCATAAAAATCCAAATGTAATACAGTCCAGGAATAGCCAAAACTCACAAGTACAGCATGAATCTATAAACAAAAGCTATACTTAGAAAAACTTGAGCAAGAATCATAAAGTAAGAATATAGAAAACTTCCAGGATACTTGAATCTAAAACCAGGACTTGACACAAGCCAACTAACTTTAAAGTAAACAACTGGCTGTTAATAAGCACTCATTTGTTTCCCACGAATTTTCTCTCTTTTCCACGTCATCTCTCGGACCTACAGAGCCGGTTCTCTGATCTAATCTGTAAACGAAGACTTTTGCTTATTTCTGTAACACCAGGTGCTTTCCCTTGAGAGTTTTCCGTTTCACTTAATTCTTCACTCAACCCCTTATCAATCTGATGTTGTTTCTAGGTCCTGTGACTGACCTTAGAGCTCAGCACTGTCTGAGCCAGTTTCATTTCCCTGGCCTGAATCTACATCACTTTAAACCCCAGGAAATCCCACAATCCCTTCTGAATCATCAGTGAACCCATCAGCCCCTGGCTGCTGATCTATAGCAGCCACAAATTTGTGGTGTATTTCCTTGTATCCTGCCTTTGCTACTGGTTTTACTGATGCAAACATTTGAGGAATCCAAAGGCCACATAGCATTTTTTAGGAAGGCGAAATGAAGTTTGCCCATAGCTCCAGAATGTCTCATCACAACACTATGTAACACCATTTGTGTTCCTGGGTTATGAACGTCATTTCATAATTAAAAACATGGGGAAAGTGTATTAAACTGGCAAAACTTTGTTTCTGTGGGAGGGAGGGACATCCGGCAGCACGTTTTGCTCTAGTTTTTCAATGAATCTCTCATGAAGTCTCAACCAATTCAACCTAGTTTGTGGCAACCATAAAAATGAAGTTTCTGGAGGACCGCACAATTAAACAGGAAATAAGACTTTCTAACCAGGAATAGAACATTTTCAAATGTTGTTACATAATGTAATTTGGGGCAGCCACATATTCCATTTGGCCACAATTGTTAGCGTCAATGGATATTCTAGAGCAAGTATGGGCAAACCCAGGCCCAGGGGCCGAATGCGGCCCCTTGGGTTCTTTTCTCAGACCCTCCTCTCTCTCACCGTCCTATCCTTCCTTCCCTCTCTCTTTCCTTCTGCCWTCCCTCCCTCTTTCAACTTCCCTRCCTTTCCATCCTCCTTTCCCCTCTCTTTCTTCTTCCTTCCTTCTCTTTCCTTCCTRGGTACCACCCTCCCCCTTTCTCCTTCAATCCTTCCCTTCCACCCTTTCGTCCTTCCTTCCCTCTTTCCCCCCTCTCGCCATCTTTTGCCTTCCTTCCCTTTTGTCTTTGCTTCCTTCTCTTTTCCTTTGTCCTTCTCTTCCTTCCTTCCATCCTTCTCTTCCCCCATTTCTTCCGTCCTTCTCGTTTCCCTTCCTTTCTTCCCTCCTTCCCTCGCTCCCTCTTTCCTCTTTTTGCCTTCCCTTCCTCACTTTCATCCTTCCTTCCTTTTGTCTTTCCTTCCTTCTCTCTTTCCTTGTCTTTCTCTTCCTTCCTTCCCCCTTCCCTTCCTTTGCTCTGTCCTTCTCTTCTTCCCTTCCTTCTTTTTCCTTCCTCCTTTCCTTCCACCCTTTCATCCTTCCTTCCTCCTTTCCCTTTTGTGTTTCCTTCCTTCCCTCTTTCCTCCCCCCTTCCCTCTCTCTCTCCTTCTCCTTTCATCCTTCTCTTCCTCCATTTCGTCCTTCCTTTGTTTTCTTTTTCCTTCCTCCTTCCTTCCTGCCATCCATCCATACCCGGACAGCCAGTTCTCCTAGTAGGGAGTGCTAGCATGTGGCCCCCAGTTAGAAAGTTTGCATATGCCTGTCCTTGACGGGACAGTTTGGTCCTTCCCCCAAAGTGGTGGGTAAATTTGGGCCCACAACCTTTTCTGTTCCAATTGTGGATTCAAAGTTTGGTGATTTTTGATCAGTGTAGATTTAAGAACCATTTTCCAGTGTTGACGAGATAGCAAGCCCATGCCTCCATGCAAACAGAAGAGCCTCAAACAGATGCTGTTTGAGGCTTTTCAACTGGTATTTCCCCCTTCAAACTCCCCAATTCTCCACCTTCCGCTAATCTCTTTCTCCATTTCTCTCTCACAGTAACTTCTATGCAATCCCCAACGGCGACCCAAGAGGAGCGCATTCATTCCGACTGCCGCCCCGGATGGAGGCATTCCTTTTTGGCCGAGCCTGCCATCATTCGGATGGGAGGAACAAGAGGACTGAGTGAAAAAAGCCAGGTGGCGCGTCTCGTTCTTCCTGCCATTCTCCAAAACGTGTATTTATATCCATCCCAAATCAGGGCCCTTTGGGACGCCTGAAGCTGAGCCAGGCGGCGGACTTCTGGGCCAGAAGGCCACCTTTGCCCAAAAGTGCACTACTTATAGCTACCTATCTGTATGTGATACTGTGAAGCTCCTTTTGCTTTCCCTGCCGCTTTGTCTCCAAATCATGTATTTATTTCATTCCTCTTTGCCTTCTTACCTATCTGCGAGAAGGCAAACGTTTAGGCCTGCCTGGGGCTTGCTGGGTCAGGGAGCTTTGTTGAATTTGTCTCGTTTCCTGGGAATTCGAGTGGAGGAATTATCACACGGGAGAAAAATGGCCACCCGTTTGGAGAACCAGCAGGTCCTGGGTCCATTAGAAACATGGAAGAGCTTTGAAATGCACAACTGAAGCTTCTCCAGCATCTTTTGGGATGGAGTTTCCTCTCCAAGGCAAACAAAACACACACAACAAGGATTTGGTTGCCTTCCTTTGGTTGAGGAAGGAAGATAGAAATCCTGGCAAATATCAAGTGGCATCCGGAGGTGGATCAGAAGAGAAACAGTCTTCCTGTGCTTGCCATATTCAGTCCACAGAGAGCCACGGTTGTCCCTCCTGAGGGCATGTTTTCTTCACCGTCTTCCTCAAACTGTTCTGCGGCATCTCCTTTGGAGTGGAAAAGGCTTTGTTTGGATTGGAAGAGAGGGCTAGAGCGAACCAATTTCGAATGAGAAATTCATCATAGTCTTCCGTTTTGTGAAATGCGCAGCAGCTGCTTTCCAGACGTCCCCTCACATCTGGAGGGCTGTACACATTCTTCATCCATGAGAATCCAGATTGGGGGAGTTTTCCTTGAAAGACGAGGCAGATTGCTTCTCCCTCCGAAAAGGCGAGCAGATGAAAGGAAATCTTTTTGTTTGGCTCAAGGTCGGCTTCATCTCGACATCGTTTTCTGCCCCTTTTCAGAGCCAGGGGATGAGAAACTTCTCTTTCCTCGATGGGCCAAAATGAAGCAACCTTTGGCGATCCAAATGGGAAATTGGAAAGGGATCCTTTCGCTGTGCATTTCATCACAGCTTTGGGGTCACATTCAGTAAGAGAAAGGGAGCCCTTGGAGACAGAACGTGAAGCTTTTTGCCCTTTTCCCAGTTGAGATGAAAAGACCAAAGAAGCAGGAGAGAGGCTCATTTGGGTCAATCTGGAAGGCACTTCTTTTTGGCGGCAATAAAGCACTGCGAAGATCCGGTGTTGTGAAATCTACAAGGATGAGGATAATAATTACCCTCCTATTATTTTTTCAGTTTGAGAAGAGCAATGAAGAGGGGAATGCGTCTGCCTCATTGTCCAACGGAAAGCAAGAACGTTTGCCCAGATCCTTGACGAATCCAGCTTTTCTCTCACAGCCGCCCCCATTAATGCAGCCAGGGTTTGGGATCGAGTCCCACCGAGGGGCGCCTTCCCTTGGACTTTATGGCTTTTTCAGTGGAAACCCCCTTCCAACCCCAGCCTCAGAGGGCTGCCAACCTTTCTTCCTTTCCCAAATCCCCAAAGGAAGACAAATCCATTCTCAGGTCGATAGGGGAAAATGATGTTGCTGATTGGACTACTTTAGACGTCTACATTAGACCCTATAATGTATATATCTATACCTTGTTTTTGGTTTTGTTATGTATACACACATATGCGCTCTCTATGTATATGGTTAATTTGTCATAGGTTTCATTGTCGTTCTCATTGCATATTTGTTTTGGAACCTCAGTACTCCATGTTTGACGTGTGCTTTGTACAAAGAATGTATAGGATTCATGTACCAGAACAGGGCAGCGACTCAGTCCCTGAGCTGGATTTTCCTTGCAAATGGCTTTTTTTTTTTTGTGGAGAGGTTGCCTCCCTCTGCCCAGAAATACCGACCGTTGTGTATACCGCTGTGTAGTCTTGGATGTAAAACCAGAGGCTGTGTATGTCTCTCTCTCTCTCTCTCTCTCTCTCTCTCTCTCTCTCTGTATGTGTTATCTATCCATAACATATATACACAGAAATGCATCCCTGTATAAATGGTTCCTTTGCTGGGTTTCTTTTCTTCCCCTTCTCTGTAAATAACATAGGAACAATGTGATGCTTAAGTCTGGATTTAGGGAAAACTGCAGCTTTCCTATTTTTGGACTATGCTACCCATCATTCTGGTTGTGGAATATGGAAAGGATTGTCCCAGACTCTGCCTACCTCTAGCCTGAACTCCATAAACACTGTAGCTTTTTAGGCCTGAAGTTGCCTCATCTTCCCAACTGTTGGTCCCAAATGATATGAGGAGGGTGGGAGTTGTAGTCCAATGCATTTGGGTGAATCGGCAGCATTATCCTACAGATGTGATGGGCATAGATGGGAGTTCAGTCTTTGTTTATTCAAATACTAGCGCATACATAAGCGTGCGCTTCCTTCCTCTTCCCTCCAATCTCCCTTCTCCAGCTCTGAAGTTTTTATAAGACACAAGCTTAAGGATTGCGTTCTTCCTTCTCCAGCTTGCTTCCATCTTTGAGAAGGCATCCCTTGGAATGTTTCCATAGCAATGCCAGGGCCCTCCTAGAGTGCCTCAATGACAACCTTCTATCCCTCTTCAATTTGTCATCCCTGTCTCTGATGTTGGCTTTCAATCTGTATACTGCCCTCTTGCGGTTGCACTGCAGGTTGAGGCTCATGGGCCTACAGCGTAGGTTGTTTCAAAACTAAGGCAAAAAAGAAAAGAGGTGGGTTCTTAAAAACCTGTCAGTATTTTAACTTAGACCATGAAGGGGAGGTCTGTCCAAGTTTGGTCAAGATCCATCAAGCCATGTATGGGCCTTTGAGAAACAAATTTATGCATATCTTCCATTGGCCATCTCTCGCTTAGATGTCGCCTTTCTATCTCTATACTGCCCTCTTGTGGTTGCCTCTGAAAGTGGTGCCTACATACATTCCCATGTATTCGTTTTGAGGGCCCTACAACTACCCAGGGTTGATTTTATTTGCATTGAAAACCCACCAGTGTTTCAGATTGGATCACGAAGGGGGCATGTGCCCAAGTTTGGTCCTGATCCATCAAACCGTTTAGGAGCCTTTGAGGAACAACCATATATATATATATATATATATATATATATATATATATATATATATATATATATTCACTTAGAGACTTACGGCCCCTTTAGTGGCGATGGGAGGACATTTCGCCATATCTTCAAGGGTATCTAAAATTAGGAACGGGCCACTCCTTGTTGCCAAAATAAAGGATGTGGCAGGAATAGAAGGCAATATTAGGAGACGCAAATGGGTTACTTTCATTGTTTTTCCTGTGTAATTTATTACCAAGCGCTTATTTAAGACAAATGTCTGTGTTTTCCTCCTCTGCCTGGCCGTCTGTAGACAATTGAGGTTTCTTTCTTCCCAAAAAGACACATTTCCCTTTTTGGGGGGGAGACTAAAACAGATGGAGCCTGATCTGGAATGGTGCAATTTCTGCATTGAAATCTGTTGGGAGAGAAGTCTCGTTCCTCTTTGGACATTCCTTCCCTTATTTTATTTTTGGGGAAATAGCCAATAAAATAGGACCGTGAAATCATTTGAGGTTGTGCCTTTTCTTCCCTGGTCGTTTCCCTATCTTCAAGTGTATGCTGCTGAAACCATCCTTTGTGCAGATAAATGACCTGGGTTATTTAAGCTTGCCTAACGGATGCCGGAAAAGATAAATCATATTCTATACATCACTATTGAGCTTGATCCAGAAGCTTGAGCTTGAGACCAGGCATGGGGTTGCCTTGTGTACCTATATCGGGAAAGGGGCAAGATAATAATATACTTTATTTATATTCTGCTCTATCTTCCTGAGGGGACTCAGGGCAAATTATAGTACACATATGCAACAAACATTCAATGCCGTTACACAATTAACAAAGACAGTACATAAACAGAGGTAAAGGCTTCCCATCTTTTTCCATCTCCAGCATCTGGAGGCTGTGGTTGCTTTGTTGTTGTCCATAGACATTTTCCTGATCGAATTGCCGGCATGTCTGCATGCCGGCAATTCCTCCCCGCCAAAGCGGTACCTATTTACTCACATTGCTGTTTTCGAACTGCTAGGTAAGTAGAAGTTGGGCTGACGGTGGGAGCTCACCCCAACCCATGCTTGAATTGTCAACCTTTTGATCAGCTAGATTTTCTGCTGCTCGTGGTTTAACTCGGTGTGCTAAAGCCCGGCCCTAATAAATGTACTGGATGCCCAATTATCTGACACTCATGGGGATTGATGCCAGATAAATGTCATATCTGGTTGCTTGAGAGTGATAGTTCTACTTGCATCCCATAATATACTATCTCATAAACTCTGGATTGACTTGATGTCCATATTGTAATCCAGTAATTAAACGCCGATGAAGACAAACTTCATCTGACAAAAGTTTTGCTGAGTTTATTTAAAATATTATTTCTTTGGTATTTTTTTTGTGCCGGTTGCTTGAGATCTTAGAACAGCGGTTCTCAGCCTGTGGCTCGCGACTCCTTTGGGGGTCAAATGATCATTTAACAGGGGTTGCCTGAGATAATCAGAAAACACATATTTCCAAGATGCTGCTTCAGGCAGTGTCCTCTTCCTTCTCATTCTTTCTGCCGGACCTTCACTTTGTGCCGTGAGGAGGGAGTAGCCAAAAGTCTGGAGGAGGAGGAAGAGCCCAAGAGAGGCCCGGTGAGCCCAAGAGGGGGGCAAGACTAAGGGACCCCCATCCCTCCTGTGTTTCAGGAGGCTTTGGTGACTCCAAATCAATCCCAAGGTCATAGAATAATAGAATCCCAGAGATGGAAGAGCCATTCAAATGCCATCCAGTCCATCCTCTTTCTGCCTGCCTTCGTGCAGGAAAAGCACAAACAAAGCCTGTGTTTTGCAAGGGATGGCACATCTCCACTGTGAAATAGATGCAGTTTGGGCCCCAGAGCGCCTTGCCTCAGTGAGGGAAGCATGGGAGTTTTAGTCATGCAAAACCGCCAGCCAGGAGGGAGGGAGGGAGGGAGGAAGGAAAGAAAGATGGATGGATGGATGGATGGATGGAAGGAAGCGGCTGCATCTAGGGTCTCAGAGCATTGAAGCAGCACAGAGAAAAGGGGCCAGGCTGTCATATATTTTATATAGACATAGGAGCAAAATTGGCCAGTAGTTCCTGGCATTGGAGGCGTCTTTACCAGGTTTCAAAATTGTAATGATCTTAGTTTTCCTCCATAATGTGAGAATCAGTTTGTGTGCCAAGCATTTATTGTAAAATTTTAAAATCCAGTTTTCGGCTTTGGGGCCAAAGTGTTGGATTTGCTCCATCATTAAGTCATCTTTCTTACTTAAGTATGTAAGTCATCTAGGCCAGGTGCTTTACCCGTTTTACATAGCTTAATAACTTCTCTAGTTTATATAAATAAAAATGTCATGTCCGTTTGTGGGATTAACGTAACTCAAAAATCACTGGATGAATTGACGCCAGATTTCAACACAATATACCTATCAGGCCAACGAGTGACCATCGCTCATAAAAATAATAATAAACTTATAATAATAAACTTTATTTATACCCCGCCACCATTTCCCCAAAGGGGACTCGGGGCGGCTAACATGAGGCCAAGCCCAAAAATAATACAGCAAAGTTCGACACAAAACAACAGAAAAATTACATCACAACAAAATACATAAAGCAACAAAATAAAATAAACTGCAAAATAACAGAATAAAAAGCAAACACAAAGGGCGGGCCAAATGTGCAAAATAAAAAAGTTAAAACCCTGAGTGAGATAGGAATAGAAAAAGTGTATTTATGAGGAAGGAGTCCAAAAAGGAGGAGCAGTGGAGTTTGGCCTTCATTAAGGACAGGGGAAAGTGCATCATGAGAACAACAAACAAAAATACTGGAAAACACAGCAGAAGGGACTTAAAAAGCCAAAAAATAAAAAAAAATACAACGCATGCGCAAAACCACATTAATAATAATAATAATAATGCTTTATTTATACCCCACCACCATCTCCCCAAGGGGACTCGGGGCGGCTTACATGAGGCCAAGCCCAACAACACCAGTAAAACAACAAAGCAGCAAGCAAATAAAACAGTACAAATAATATAACTAACATATAAGCAGTAACACACAAACTTTTAAAACACTATGGCCGGGCCAGATGTAATAGATTAAAAATTTAAAAACAAACACTGGGTGTGAACAGAGGTAGGGTATATCTAAGTAGGGAGGTTTTAAAGGGTAATGTAGAGAGATCAACCCAACGGGTAGATAAAGTGCTTCTGAGGACATTTTGCAGGGAATTGGTCAGAACAGGGCATTGTTTCCTTTATTCAGGGAAGGCACATTGGAACAGCCACGTTTTCAGGCTCCTCCTAAAGACTGCCAATGTGGGGGCTTGTCTGATATCCTTGGGGAGTGAGTTCCAGAGTCGAGGGGCCACCATAGAGAAGGCCCTCTCCCTCGTCCCCACCAATCGCGCCTGCGAAGGGGGCGGGAGCGAGAGCAGGGCCTCTCCAGATGATCAGAGAGATCGCGTTGGTTTGTAAACAGAAATGTATACACATATACACAAATATATACACACATATATGCATATATACACACACAAAACACATATACACAGACTGGGCCACAGCAACAAGTGGCAGGAAACGGCTAATAATCATAATAATATATACAATTGTACTAGGTATGTCTGTAAGTCACTGTGTTGAGTGTAGAGTCCAGCAGATCAGGGTCCAAATCCAAACTCGGTTGCAGAAGAATTGCAGGACAAGTCACACTCTCTCAGCCTCAGTGAAAGGCAGACATCTGGATTGATCGTCAGTCAAGAAAAGGCCATAGAAAGGCTTCCATTCAAAAGCAAAAATGTGGAGCGAGCTTCAGAGAACGCAGCGGTCAGACTCTCATGTAAGATTTGTTTGATTGTATTGTGATTGGTTTATAGCATGTATAGGCTAACCCAGGCCCGGGGTCCAGATGTGGCCCCTTGGGCTTTTCTCTCAGACCCCCCCTCTCTCTCCATCCTATTCTCTCTTTCCTTCTTCCATCCCTTCTTTCCCTCTCTCCCTCCTTTCCTTCCACCCTTTCGTTCTTCCTTTATTCCCTTTCCTCCCTCTTTCTCCTTCCCTCCTTCTTTCCTTCTCTTTTGCCTTTCCTTCTTTTCTCTTTCCTCCCTCCCTCTTGTCCTCTCCCTCCATTCCCTTCCACCCTTTTGTCCTTCCCTCCTCTCTTTCCTTCCTCCTTTCCACCCTTTCGTCCTTCCTTCTTTCCCTTTTGTCTTTCTTTTCTTCTCTTTCCTTCCTCCTTACCTCCCTCTTTCTCCTTCCATCCTCCCTTTCCCCCTTCCTTTTCTCTTACCTTCATCCTTCCCTTTCTTCCTTCCATCCTTCTCTTCTCTTCTGTCCTTCCTTCCCTTTTGATTTTCCTTCCTTCTCTCTTTCCTCCCTCCTCACCTCCCTCCTTCCCTTCATTAACTCCCTTTCATCCTTCCTTCCTTCTCTCTTTCCTTTCTCCTTCCATTCCTTCCATCACCGGGCAGCCAGTCCTCTTAGCAGGAAATGTTAATACTGCCCCCAAGTTAGAAAGTTTGCCCATGCCTGGTTTATAGGTTTGTAATTTGGTTGGTTTAAAGGTAAAGGTAGTCCCCTGACATTAAGTCCAGTCATGTCTGACTCAGGGGTGTGGTGCTCATCTCCATTTCTAAGCCGAAGAGCCAGCGGTGTCCGTAGACACCTCCAAGGTCATGTGGCCAGCATGACTGCATGGAGCGCCGTTACCTTCCCGCCGGAGCGGTACCTATTGATCTACTCACATTTGCATGTTTTCGAACTGCCAGGTTGGCAGAAGCTAGGGCTGACAGCGGAAGCTCACGCCGCTCCCCGGAATCGAACCTGCGACCTTTCGATCAACAAGCTCAGCAGTTCAGTGGCCAGAGCGAAGACAGAAGGGAACAGAAGACCCTTCCATCTTGTCTTTACTAATAATATAATATAGTATATTGTATATACATATAATATTTATAATATTATAATGTAATACAATATAATACTAGTAATAATAATTCAATATTATAATTATAATTATATATTTACTTTACATGTAATATTACTAATAATATTACAATATAACGGTATTGTGCAATATAGTAATATATACTGATATTGTACTATGCTAATAATATAATATATTGTATGAAAATATATATTGTAAGCCGCTCGGAGTCCCCTTCGGGGTGAGAAGGGCGACATATAAATGCCGTAAATAAATAAATAAATAAATAAATAACCCACTGCGCCACCGGGGGCTCCTTACAAGTGCAAAAAGACTCGAATTTAACCCAGAATTTAAGAACAAGCAATTCCTCATAGTCGGTGTCCTGTGAAGTATTCCCATCATCCCCAGCAAATGAAGTTCATTAAAGGGCAAATAACTGATGATGCTGAAATTTCCTCTTAGGATTATAATGGACTCATAAAATAAATATGTTTTGGTTGCCAAAAATACTCAAAACCCTGGTAAAAAGGTTATAAAATATCCCCTCCATCTTTGAATTTCCCTGATATTGGGAAACTGGTAGTGTTTGTCTCTCAATTCTAGGGCTTTCTAAGGTGTTCTTTATTTGAAAAAAAATGAAAGGGAGGCAGGAAAGAGAAAGAAAAAAAAAGAGGAAAACAGCAGTAAGCAAAGGGGGAAAGGCGAATGAAAGAGAATGGGGTGGGAAGAGGAAAGAAAGCAAGGTATGGAGTCGGAGAGAAAAGGACAGGAAAAGGGAGGGAGGGAGGGAGGGAGGGAAGAAGAAGGAAGAGTAAAAAGAAAGGTATGAGGGAAGGAAATGGAAAAGGGAAATAAGGAAGACGAAGGAGAAGAAGGAAGAAAAATGGAGAAAGGTACGAGAGGAGGAGAGGAAAGAAGGGATGAGAAAGGAAGGAAAGGAGGTTTTTTTTATCGTGTCAAGCAAATTGAGAATAGTTATAATGTATAGAAAAACCACAAACAAAGCTCAAAACTTGGAATTATGCTAAATTTCCTTTGAACAGAAGCTGGCCACTTTGAATGTCTCTGGTGTTGCGGTGAGAAGGCAGGGCTCAGGCTGCATTGTAATCAGTGGTCGGTGGTTTGCTCTTCTCCACACTCGCATATCGTGCACTCCACTTTGTGGCCCCATTTCTTAAGGTTATCTCTGCAACTTGTGGTGCCAGAGCGCAGTCTGTTCAGCACCTTCCAAGTCGCCCAGTCCTTCTGTGTGCCCAGGAGGAAATTTCTCAGAACCTCAGCCACTGATTGAGGTTCTGAGTTTTTTTTGCCTGCCACTTTTGGACTCTCATTTGCTGAGGTTCAAGTATATCTGTAGATCTCTGTAGATCTTAGGAAGCTATTTCTTGATTTAAGGCAGTGTTTCTCAACCTGGGGGCCGTGACCCCTGGGGGGGTCACGAGGGGGCGTCAGAGGGGTCACCAAAGACCATCAAAAAACACAGTATTTTCTGTTGGTCACGGGGGTTCTGTGTGCCAAGTTTGGCCCAATTCTATCGTTGGTGGAGTTCAGAATACTCTTCGATTGTAGGTGAACTATAAATCCCAGCAATTACAACTTCCAAAGGTCAAGGTCTATTTTTCCCCAAACTCCACCAGTGTTCACATTTGGACATATTGAGTATTTGTGCCATGTTTGGTCCAGATCCATCATTTTTTGAATCCACAGTGATCTCTGGATGTAGGTGAAGTACAACTCCAAAATTCAAGGTCAAAATTCAAGGCCTTTGGGCACTCCGGCAATTAAATCAGACAATCAGGCGAGTAAGACCAGCAGGATTGATGAAGTGGAACGTAAAACTAGATCTATGAGTAGCGAACGCTGACCATGTAAGAGGAGAAACTGGGTTTGTATTTGGTATTATTGATTTTATTGATTTTATGGTTATAATGTATATTTGGTGTTAACTGTGTATTGATGTAATTTTGTGTTTGATTGTTTTTATGATGCAGGCATCAAATTGTGCCTTGCTTTTGTAAGCCGCCCTGAGTCCCCTTCGGGGTGAGAAGGGCGGGGTAAAAGAACCCCAAATAAATAAATAAATAAATAAATAAATAAATAAATAAATTCCCAACTCATGTTTTGAACTTACAACCAAACTTCTCCTACAAACTGCCCTAATTCCTATTATATCTTACCATAAACTCTATATTGGCTTGATGTTCCTCCAGCATCTTGTGGCGGAGGTTACCTCCGACTGTTGGTTCTTCCTTTTCTTTCCCGACCGCACGGTCCTGAAATTGCCCTCATTTCCCCGTCTGGAGCCTTGAGCAACAACTTCCTCTCCGTTGAAGAGGAAGAGGCCACCTTACAACGCCAGCATTCATTCTGGAGGGTAGATCCAGTTCCTTGCTCTTGGATACTTTAGGCTTTTTTTGGATCCTGAACGAGGATGAAAACCCCGAAGAGACGAGTCCTTCTCGTGCTCCAAGCAGGTAAACACTTAATATATTTCCCCCCTCAATTGGGATGGATTCAAAAGACTCAAAGCAGCTTTTGGATGGTTCAATATATGTTTCAAAATATGGGGTATATAAATTGACCTTCAGGTGTATACTGTTTAGATGGATGGTTCATAGAGTGTAGCATTTATTCTTCCTCTGCCAAAATTTGCCTGCTTGGACTCTCCTGCCTTTCTTCCTCTTCCAACGGTTTCCTCACCTGGCCTCGCTTCACCCAACCGTTTCCCGTTTTTAGTATTATGATTCTGAAGCAACCAGGGTGACATTGCAAATGAATGGTCCATACTTTTTCTAGCCCAACTACCCTGAATGGGTCACAATGAACTCTAGAAAGACGGAGGGAGGGAGAGATGTATATATGGATGGATACAATAGAGGATGAATGGATAGACAGACAACCTCTGAGGATGCTTACCACAGATGCAGGCGAAACATCAGGAGAGAATGCTTTTGGAACATGGCCATACAACCCGAAAAACTTACAACAACCCAGTGATTTAGCCATGAAAGTCTTCGACAGATCAATCAATTGATCAATGGCTGGCTGGCTGGATAAATAAATTGATAGGTGGGTGGATAGATAGATCAATGGATAGAGAAACCAATGGATAGATAATGGGTGAATGGATGGACAGACTGACCAATAGATAAATGGATGGATAGATCAATAGATAAGTGGATGGATAGATAGGTGGACAGATGGATCAGTGGGTGGATGGACAGGTGGATTGACAGGCAGATAGATTAATGGGTAGATGGATGGATAGACAGATGAAAAGTTAATGGGTTGATAGATAGATCAATGGATGAACAGATCAACCAATGGATAGATGGGTGGATAAATCAATAGATAGGTGGATGGATAGATCAATAGATAAGTGGATGGATAGATAGGTGGACAGATGGATCAGTGGGTGGATGCACAGGTGGATTGACAGGCAGATAGATCAACAGGTAGATGGATGGATAGACAGATGAAAAGTTAATGGGTTGATAGATCAATGGATGGATGGATGAACAGATCAACCAATGGAAAGATGGGTGGATAAATCAATAGACAGGTGGATGGATAGATCAATAGGTAAGTGGATGGATAGATAGGTGGACAGATGGATCAGTGGGTGGATGCACAGGTGGATTGACAGGCAGATAGATCAATGAGTAGATGGATGGATAGATAGATGAAAAGTTAATGGGTTGATAGATAGATCAATGGATGGATGGATGGATGGATGGATGAACAGATCAACCAATGAATAGAAGGGTGGATAAATCAATAGATAAGTGGATGGATAGGTAGATCAAAGGATAAAAAGATCAAAGGATGGACCAATGGATAGATGGGTGGATAGATCAATGAATAGGTGGGTGAATAGATAGATGGATCAGTGAGTGGATGGATGGATAAACTGACCAATGGATAGATGGATTGATAGATGGATCAGTGGGGAGACAGATGGATTGATGGACAGATAGATGAACAGACAGATAGATCAATGGGTAGATGGATGGATTGGTGGATGGATAGATAGATGAAAAAAATAAAAGGGCTGATAGATAGTTCAATGGATGAGTGGATGAACAGACCAAACAATGGATAAATGGGTGGGTAGATCAATGGATAGGTGGATGGATAGATCGATCAATGGAGAAAAGGATCAATGGATGGATAGACGGACAACTGACCAATGGACAGATGGATAGGTGGATAGATGGATCAGTGGGTAGATAGATGGATTGATGGACAGATGGATGGACAGAGAGATAGATCAATGGGTAGATGGATGGATTGGTGGATGGATAGATAGATGAAAAGATAAACAGACCAATCAATGGACTGATGGATGGATGGATGAATTTATAGATAACCTTCTCGCCTTTCCGGTAGGCCTGTGGTTTGCCTCCTTCGCTATGGGGAGCTGGATCATCGGGGGCCAGGAAGCCAAGCCACATTCATGGCCCTTCATTGCCTCCATCCAACTCAATGGGGAGCACTTCTGTGGCGGATTCTTGGTGCGGCGCCGGTGGGTCCTGACCGCTGCTCACTGCCTCATTCCCCGGTATGTCAGAGTGAGAAAGCACCACACAAACAGCTCTGTGGGTCATGTTGTATGATGTGTGGCTATGTAAACACATACATACTGTTTGTGACCCTTTCCAGCAGGTTGCCCATGGTGCGTGTGGTGCTGGGCGCCCACTCTCTCAAGATGCCTGAGGCCTCTCAACAAGCCTTCAGCATCCAGGAATCAGTGGCCCACCAGAACTATGACCCTGTGACAGTCCGGAACGATATCCGCCTACTCAAGGTACGGGCCGCAAACCTGGATCTGCAAACACAGAGCAGGCAAACGTTATTTCTTTGTGTGAGAAAAAGCCAAAGCTCAGGATGGGCTCAGAGAGGTTAAAACAATGTAAAAGACTTTATTTGTTATGGCCATAAACAAGGGCCACCGCAGTACAAGAAATTTTGACTACTCTAAATTGATTCAAGTCTTCAGGGCCAGATAATAGAGCAGAGGATGTAATAGAGTAGCGTTTCTTAACCTGGGGGTTGGGACCCTTGGGGAGAGTCATGAGGGGGTTTCAGAGGGGCCACCAAAGACCATCAGAAAACCTATATTTCTGATGGTCTTAGAAACCCCCTTGGCAGAGAAGGCTGAAGATCTCTCCGCCTGTCCTTCTCTTCCTTTTTGGAAACAGACGGCAAATCCTCCCATCAAAAGCCCTCCTCCATTGTGATTGGCCGGCCTCTCAGACAAGGGGAGGGCTATTGCTGAGACTCCAAGAGGGGAGAGCAGGCGTGCTCGGTGCATGGCAGCGGGGCGCACATGTGCGGGAGAAGAAGAGCATGTGAGGTTGGAGGGAGGCTCGTGTTAGAGAGTCCCTTCAAGGCATGGGGGTTTGAGAAGTTTGGTTCAATTCTATCGTTGGTGGGATTCAGAATGCTCTTTGATTGTTGGTGAACTATAAATCCCAACTACAACTCCCAAATGTCAAGGTCTATTTTCCCCAAACTCCACCAGTGTTCACATTTGGGCATATTGATGCGTGCCAAGTTTGGTCCAGATTCATCATTGTTTGAGTCTGCAGTGCTCTCTGGATATAGGAGAACTACAACTCCAAAACTCAAGGTCAATGCCCACCAAACCCTTCCAATACTGTCAAAGGCTTTCATGGCTGGAATCACTGGGTTGTTGTAGTTTTTTCGGGCTATATGGCTATGATCTAGAGACATTCTCTCGTGACGTTTCACCTGCATCTATGGCAAGCATCCTCACTACCTCTGAGGATGCTTGCCATAGATGCAGGCGAAACGTCAGGAGAGAATGCCTCTAGACCATGGCCATATAGCCCGAAAAAAACTACAACTCTTCCAATACTTTCTGTTGGTCATGAAAGTTCTGTGTGCCAAGTTTGGTTCGATTCCATCATAGGTGGAGTTCAGAATGCTCTTTGATTGTAGGTGAACTATAAATCCCAGCAACTACAACTCCCAAATGACAAAATAATTCCCCCAACCCCACCAGCATTCTCATTTGGGTATATAGAGTATTTGTCTCAAATTTGGTCCAATGAATGAAAATGCATCCTGCATATCAGATATTTACATTACGATTCATAACAGGAGCAAAATTACAGTTATGAAGTAGCAACAAAAATAATTTTATAGTTGGGGGTTACCGCAGCATGAGGAACTATATTAAAAGGTTGCAGTATTAGGAAGGTTGAGAAACACTGCAATAGAGGAAAAGCAAAGGTAGTACAGGAATATATGGCTAATCTAAATTGTTTCAACTCTCCAATGTCAGAAAATGGAGCAGAGAATGCAACAGAGCAGGGGTCTATTGCACACCCCTAGTAAGCTCTTATGCAGGAATGCCATACTGATAAATAACATGGGTTTCTCAGAAACAAAAAATACACACTTCTGCCACTAGATGGAGACAAAGGACAACCTTAACAAGGTTCTGCCACTAGATGGCGACGAAGTCCAACCTTTCCTTCCTTTTGCTGTTCTTTTTCCAGTTGAACCAGTCTGTCCAATTCAACCAGGAGGTCCAGCTTGTTCGGCTCCCCCGAAAAAACAGCCTCCTCCTCCCCGGCGTCACCTGCAAAGTGGGTGGTTGGGGGGACATCACAAATTTTGGAACGATTCCCTCCAAGCTGATGGAAACCAACGTGACTGTGATCGACAGGGGCGCCTGCAATGCATCGTGGGCTGGCCATGTCTATAGCAAGATGTTTTGCGCCTCCCACAGCAGTCCAACTCTGCGCGGCTTCTGCTCAGTGAGTCTCGGGACAGAAATCCATTATTATTGTTATTATTATTATTATTATTATTAGAAACACAACAAGATGAGTCCACAGCAAACAAGATCACTCTGCTGGCTGTTGTATTGGATCACACGTCGGACACTTCTCAAGTGTCTAGGACTGTGTGATGTATCGGCGAACAATGCGTGCAGATCCCAGTAAGGTGGCCTTCTGCAGCTGGCAAATGGTAATTTTGTCAGCGCCGATTGTGTTAAGTGCAGGCCAAAGTCTTTAGGCACTGCACCCAGTGTACCGATCACCACTGGGACCACCTTGACTGGTTTGTGCCAGAGTCTTTGCAGTTCGATCTTTAAATCCTCATATCGTGTCGGGTTTTCCAGTTGTTTCTCTTCGTTCAATCATGCTGTCACCTAGGATTGCAACATTGACAATCTATACTTTGTTTTTTAACACGATTGCGAGGAGTATTGTGCTCCAAAACTCTTGTCAGTCTGAATTCGAAAGTCCCAGAGTAGTTTGACGTGTTCATTTTCTGTATTATTATTATTATTATTATTATTATTATTATTATTATTATGTATTTATACTCCACTTTCTCACTCCCGAAGGAGACTCAAAGCGAGTGTGACCCTCGCCCCAAAGCTGCATAATGCATCCTGTTTGTTAAGTTTTGTTAAGTTCTGAAATTTTCACCATCCAAAATTCGGAAAGACTTTAGAAATGAAGCACCAGCGCCCCTTGTTTTTTGGAAGGAGTTTAGAACCATTTTTAATGCCTATTGCATAATTACATAGTCATTTCTGGGGCTTCAAACCCAGGCCAACCTCATCAAGGCCTCTCTCTTTTTTTTCCTAGGGGGACTCTGGGGGGCCCCTTTTATGTGGGGCCCGAGTGCATGGCATCGTCTCCTTCAACGGAAGAAGGTGTGGGGACCGCCGGCGCCCCGACGTCTACACTCAGGTCTCCAAGTACATCTCTTGGGTCCGTCATGTCATCAAGACAGTTTGATTGCCAGCAGTTTTGGGATCCCACCAGAAGCCACCTGCCCCCCTTCCTTTGGAAAGGAAAATGCTGTAAGCTCTTGGATTAAAGCATTAGAATAAAAATTTAAAGCTCTGCAAGACTCTGTGTCTCTGTCAAATTCTGCTCTTCACTGTCCATCTACTGGCAGGTACCTTTGCCTTTACAGTTTGTTATCTGTATTATCTATAACATGTTGTTGTTCTAGAACTCCAATATGCTGGTGATAACATAGTCTGTGCATATTCAGAAGATGATCTACAGGCCACTCTAAACACCTTTGCAGAAGCATACGAGAAGCTTGGCCTCTCACTGAACATTGAGAAAACCAAAGTGCGCTTCCAGTAATCACCAGCCAATCTCTCTGTAATGCCAGAAATACAGCTTTATGGTGTACTACTAAAAAATGTTGACCATTTCCACTCCCTTGGCAGTCACCTCTCCGCAAAAGTCAACATTGACACTGAAATACAACACCGCCTGAGCTCTATGAGTGCAACATTTTCCCAAATTAAGCAGAGAGTGTTTGAGAATCGGGACATTCATAGGGAGACCAAGGTACTTGTTCATAAAGCTGTTGTCCCCCCAACCCTGCTATACGCCTGCGAGACGTGGACTGTCTACAGACGTCACACGCAACTCCTGGAACGATTCCATCAGCACTGCCTCTGAAAAATCCTGCAAATCTCTTGGGAAGACAGGTGGACAAAGGTCAGCATGATGGAAGATGCAAAGACCACCAGCACTGAAATAATGTTCCTATGCCATCAACTCTGCTGGACCGAAGGCCACGTTGTCCAAATGTCCAAAGATCACCGTCTCCCAAAACATTTATTATGTTCCCAACTCAAGAATGGGAAACATAATGTTGGTGGACAGGAAAAGTGATTGAAAGATGGGCTTAAAGCCAACCTTAAAAACTGTGGCATAGACACCAAGAACTGGAAAGCCCTGGCCCTTGAGCATTCTAACTGGAAGTCAGCTGTGACCAGCAGTGCTGCAGAATTCAAAGAGGCATGAATGATGGTCGAAAGTGAGAAATGAGCCAAGAGGAAGGAGGTGCATCAAGCCAACACTGTCCAAAACCGCCTTCCATCTGGAAACTGTGGAAGAACATGTGGGTCAAGAAAAGGGCTCTAACAGTCACCTACAAATCCACTGCTAAGACACTACACTTGAAAGGCCATCATACTCGGACAACAAAGGATCACCTAAATAAGTATCTGTATATCGATAGATAGATACACTTGCCTTTACGTATATCTTAAGTATATCTGTATCTGTGTATCAATCGATCGATCAATAAATATATATAGTTCCTTAAGTTTATCTGTATCTGTGTATCAATCGATCGATCAATAAATATATATAGTCCCTTAAGTATATCTGTATCTGTGTATCAATCGATCGATCAATAAATATATATAGTTCCTTAAGTATATCTGTATCTGTGTATCAATCGATCAATAAATATATATAGTTCCTTAACTATATCTGTAACTGTGTATCGATCGATCAATCAATAAATATATATAGTTCCTTAACTATATCTGTATCTGTGTATCGATCGATCAATCAATAAATATATATAGTTCCTTAACTATATCTGTATCTGTGTATCGATTGATCAATAAATATATATAGTTCCCTATCTGTATCTATATTTGTAGATGGATAGACACTTCTGCCTTTTCAATTCATTATCTGTTTCTAAATCTGTATATCAATAGTGATAGTTAGTGATAGATACTTCCGCCTTTACAGTTCCTTGTCTATATCTATATATCAATTGATCGATCGATACCTTACAGTTCCATATCAATATATTTGTAGATAGATAGATACTTTTGCCTTTACACTTCCTTCTTAATCTATTTATTTATCTACTACATTTATACCATGTCATCAGTGCTGCCTCTGGGAAATCCTGCAAATCTCTTGGGAAGACAAACGGACAAATGTCAGCGTGATGGAAGGAGCAAAGACCACCAGCACTAAAGCGATGGTCCTCTGCCATCAACTCCACTGGACCGGCCACGTTGTCCGGATACCCGACCACCGTCTCCCAAAGCAGTTGCTCTACTCCGAACTCAAAAATGGAAAACGGAAAGTTGGAGGACAGGAAAAGAGATTTAAAGATGGGCTCAAAGCCAACCTTAAAAATTCTTTCATTGACAATGAGAACTGGGAAGCTCTGGCCCTTGAGTGCTCCAACTGGAGGTCAGCTGTGGCCAGCAGTGCTGTAGAATTTGAAGCGGCACGAATTGAGTGCCAAAGAGAGAAACGTGCCAAGAGGAAGACGTGTCAAGCCAACCCTGACCGGGACTGCCTCCCACCTGGAAATACTGTGGGAGAAGATGCAGATCAAGAATAGGGCTCCACAATCACCCCACCAGTACACCGATCATGGAAGACTATCCTACTCGGACAACGAGGGATTGCCTAAATAAGTACATTTATACCCCGCCCTTCTCACCCTGAACAGGACTCAGAAGGGCTTACAAGTAGGCAACAATTCGATGCTACATAAACAGACATAAAAATGAAACATATACATTAAAAACCCAAAACTTAAAAAATGCATAAACATTGAAACCAGCAGTTATGAGTACACAATCCAAAATCATAGCCCAGGAGCCATTTCAGTCGTAATTGCTTTTATTCCGTATCCACTTATTGCAATGAATTGTTGCTCAAAGGCTTGGTCCCACAACCATATTTTTAATTTCTTTCTGAAGATCAGGAGGGCAGGAGTGGACCTGATTTTATTTATTTATTTATTTACGACATTTATATACCGTCCTTCTCACCCCGAAGGGTTACAAAATATATATCCATACAATATATTTTATTTATTTATTTATCGTGTCATCCGCAACCAGAACATTGTATTACATTTCTAGCAGAACAAAACAAACAAACAGACAGATAAAACACACACACACACACACAAATTTTGCACACTTGGTAGTTGATTAAATGTCCTTTGACCAGTATTTGGCCACTTGGAGTGCCTCTGGTGTTGCCGCAAGAAGGTCCTCCATGGTGCATCATGTGGCTGGGCTCAGGGTGCATTGCAGGAGGTGGTCAGTGGTTTGCTCTTCTCCCCACTCGCATGTCGTGGACTCCACTTTGTGGCCCCTTTTCTTGAGGTTGGCTCTGCATCTCGTGGTGCCAGAGCGCAGTCTGTTCAGCGCCTTCCAAGTCGCCCAGTCTTCTGTGTGCCCAGGGGGGAGTCTCTCATCTGGTATCACCCACGGATTGAGGTGCTGGGTTTGAGCCTGCCACTTTTGAACTCTCGCTTGCTGAGGTGTTCCAGCGAGTGTCTCTGTAGATCTTAGAAAACTATTTCTTGATTTAAGTCGTTGACGTGCTGGCTGATACCCAAACAAGGGATGAGCTGGAGATGTCTCTGCCTTGGTCCTTTCACTATTGGCTGCTACTTCCCGGCGGATGTCAGGTGGTGCAATACCAGCTAAGCAGTGTAATTTCTCCAGTGGTGTAGGGCGCAGACACCCCGTGATAATGCGGCATGTCTCTTAAGAGCCACATCCACTGTTTTAGCATGGTGAGATGTGTTCCACACTGGGCATGCATACTCAGCAGCAGAGTAGCATAGCGCAAGGGCAGATGTCTTCACTGTGTCTGGTTGTGATCCCCAGGTTGTGCCAGTCAGCTTTCGTATGATATTGTTTCTAGCACCCACTTTTTGCTTGATGTTCAGGCAGTGCTTCTTGTAGGTCAGAGCACGGTCCAGAGTGACTCCCAGGTATTTGGGTGCGCTGCAATGCTCCAGTGAGATTCCTGGGGTTCCGGACTCAGCAATGATTCCAGGAGAACTCCCAAGCTGCAAACCTGTGCCTTCAGGGGGAGTGTAGCCCCATCCAGCACAGGCTGTAACCCTATGCCCTGTTCGGCCTTCCAACTGACCAGGGAGACATTTGTCTTATCTGGATTCAGTTTCAATTTGTTCACCCTCATCCAGACCGTCACAGCCGCCAAGCACCGGTTCAGGACCTGGACAGCCTCCTTAGTAGCAGGTGGAAAGGAGTAGCAGAGTTGAACGTCATCTATGTACAGATGGCATCGAACTCCAAAACTTTGGATGATCTCTCCCTGTGGTTTCATGTAGATATTAAACAACATGAGGGACAATATTGAGCCTGTGGCACCCCACAGGACAAAGACAGCGGAGCCGAGCAGGTGTCCCCCAACACTTACTTACGTACTTAGGCCATCCCTCGTAGCTCAAGGATGATGGTCCTCCAAGTTAAGTGTCTTGGCAGTAGGTTAGTAGGTGGCTGTGGGGCCCTTTCCTTGATCCACATGTTCTTCTGCAGTAAGAACATTGGTTTCCAAGTGGAAGGCAGTCCCGATCAGGGTTGGTTTGATGTATCTTCCTCTTGGCACGTTTCTCCCTTTCGAACTCCATTCATGCCTCTTCGAATTCTGCAGAACTGCTGGTCTCAGCTGACTTCTAGTTAGAGTGCTCAAGGACCAGGGCTTCCCAGTTCTTGGTGTCTATGCCACAGTTTTTAAGATTGGCTTTAAACCCATCTTTCAATCTCTTTTCCTGTCCACCAACATTATGTTTCCCATTCTTGAGTTGGGAGTATAATAACTGCTTTGGGAGACGGTGATCTTTGGGCATTTGGACAAGGTGGCCAGTCCAGCGGAGTTGATGGCATAGGAGCATTGCTTCAATTCTGGTGGTCTTTGCTTCTTCCATCACACTGACCTTTGTCCGCCTGTCTTCCCAAGAGATTTGCAGGATTTTTCAGAGGCAACGCTGATGGAATCATTGCAGGAGTTGAGTGTGATGTCTGTAAACAGTCCACGTTTCACAGGTATATAACAGGGTTGGGAGGACAATAGCTTTATAAACAAGCACCTTGGTCTCCCTACGGATGCCCCAATCCTCAAACACTCTCTGCTTCATTCGGAAAAATGCTGCACTTGCAGAGCTCAAATGGAGTTGTATCCCCAACAACACCTTCTGGGAATGACCCTCCAGAAGGACCGCAGCCACTGCAAAACAGTACCTCCAAGCCCCATTCCTGCAAGGCCACTGCTGGAGTTTCTCTGGGTGAACCTGGCATGATGGGAGTTGTAGTTCACCCACAACTGTATGCATTTTTTACCATTAAAAAACTGACTTTTCCTAATAACCCGAGCAACGCCAGGGACCCAAGCTAGTGATTGATATATTTATAATTTATCAGAGAAAGCAGTCATGATGTGACAAGTTCTTTTTGGTGTGGGAATCCGGCTCCCCCATCACCAAAATCCCATTGAATAATTAGGATTTTGGCTCCTGTGACTTAGATAAAGAACTGGTCGCTTTTTAGCATCAACGCTGGTCCTTCGGAGTAGACCACGGCCCCACTGAATCTCCTTTTGCAGATTAAAAAGCCAAAATTCAGCCGCTGTAAGAAAGACGTGATGACACAAGTCTGGTAGGAATGCAAAATCCTCCTGCCTTTTCCTTATATAGTTTGATGGCTTGCTTGGATGTGCGTCTCCCGATGATACTGAAAGCCGGAAAGGGGGATTTGAGGGACAAATCTTTTAAGATCCGTCTGGATTTCAACAAAGGGTCTCTAGACATACTGTTCCCTTTCCTAGACTCAGCCCTGATGGGGGAAAATACAAAACAATAACGTCTCTTCCCAGCATTCATTCAGATGGAGAACCCATGAACGAATCCTCAGCTACAATCGAGCCTAGTGAAGTTTTGGACCTGGGTTCGAATCCTGGTTCAGACGCAAAATTAACTGGCCAAATAACCTTATGTTTACCCCTCTCAGTTTCCTTCATACAAAGACAATTTTGGATCATTTGGACCAGTCCCACTTGGATGGCACAACAATGCTCTTCTCTTCTGTCTACTTCTGAATCCCGATTCGATCTCCTTGGGGTTCTTTTCCTCCCCAAATCTATTGACTTTGTGATCTTTCAAGCCATTGATCCCCTCTTTCTTTCAGCAGAGGCTAGCTACACTCTCCCGGCCTCAGAGGAAGGCAAACCTCACTGCCAGGTGAATGCTGGTGAATGGAGTTGGACTGGATGGCCCACGGGGTTCCATTGGGTGCTGCAAAGAGAAGGGTTTGGGCCATTAATCCCCACAGACTGGATGGTCCTCTGTCGGGAGGAATTGGATGGTGCCTTCCTTAATGGTGGAAGGAGGTTGGACTGGGTGGCCATCTGTCGAGAGAGACTGGATGGTGCCTTCCTGCTCAGAAGAAGGTCTGATTGCATAGCCATCTGTAGTGTGGGCTTTGATTGTGCCTTCTTGTCTGATCATTGGACTATACGGCCATCTGTAGTGAAGGCTTTTATGGTGCCTTCCTGCTCAGGAGAAGAGGGCCAGATTGGATGGCCATCTGTTGGTAGTACTTGGATGGTGCCATCTTGCTTGGCAAAGAGGATTGGACTCTATAGCCTTCCTGCCTTTTATGGTGCCTTCCTGCCTGGAAGAAGAGGATCAGTTGGATGGTCATCTGTTTGAAGGGCTTGGATGGTATCTTCCTGCTTGGAAAAGCAGGTTGGAGTAATATAGCCATCTGCCAGGAAGGCTTGGATGATGCCTTCCTGCCTGGAAGAAGAGGGTCTGTACATATGGACTGTATATGTAGCAAAGGCTTTGTGGCACCTCCCTGCTTGATGAAGAGGGTCGGATTGGACGGCCATCTATTGGTAGGGCTTTGATTGTGCCTTCCTCCCTGGAAGAAGAGGATCAGACTGGAGGCCGTCTGTAGTGAGCACTTTGATGGTGCTTTCCTGCCTGATGAAGAGTGTCAGACTGCATGGTCATCTGTCGGGAGGGTTTGGGTGGTGACTTCCTGTCTGACAAAGAGCATCGGAGTGGTCTGCAATTTGTTGGGAGGGCTTTGACAGTACCTTCTTGGCAGACTGGGTTTGGACTACTTGGCCATCTGTTGGACAGGCTTTGATGGTGCCTTCCTGCTCAGCGAAGAGGGTCGGACTGTACGGCCATCTGTCGGGAGGACTTTGGTGGTGCTTCCTTACCAGGTGAAGTGTGTTGAACTGCATGGCCACATGTAGTGAGGGCTTTGATGTTGCCTTCCTGTTTGGAAGAAGAGGTTTGGATTGCTTGGCCATCTGTTGGGACGGTTTTGGTGTTGCCTCCATGCTTGCAGAAGAGTGTCAGACTGTATGGCCATCTGTCAGGAAAGTTTAGGTGGTGCCTTCCAGCCTGACAGAAAGGATTGCACTGAATGGCCATCTGTCAGCAAGGCTTTGATGGTGCCTTCCTGTCTGGAGAAGAAGTTCGGACTAGATGGCCATCTGTCCAGTCTGAACTTGGATGGTATCTTCCTGCTTGGCAAAGAGGGTGAGACTGCATGGCCATCTGTTGCAAGGGCTTGGATGGTACCTTCCTCCCTGGAAGAAGAGGATCGGACTGGATGACGAGGATCTTTTGGGATGGCTTTGGTGGTGCCTTCCTGCTTGGGAAGAAGAGGATCTGTTGGGATGGCTTTGGTGGTGCCTTCCTGCTTGACAAAGAAGGTCAGATTGTATGGCTATCTACAGCAAGTGCTTTGATGGTGCCTTCCGGCCTGATGAAGAGAATCAGACTGGACAGCAGTCTGTGAGTGGGCTTTAATGGTGCCTTGCTGCTTAGCAAAGAGGGTCGGACTGTATGGCCATCTGTCGGGAGGGTTTCGGTGGTGACTTCCAGCCCGACGAAGAGCATCACATTGGATGGTAATCTGTTAGGAGGGCTTCCATGGTGCCTGCTTGGCAGAATGGGTTTGGACTGTATGGCCATCCAGTGGATGAGCTTTGATGGTGCCTTCTGGCCTGATGAAGAGCATCGGACTGGGCGGCCATGTGTCAATAAGGCTTAGATGGTACTTTCCTGCCCAACACGGATGATCGGACTGCATGGCCATCTGTCAGGAGGGCTTGAATGGTGCCTTCCTGTCTGACGAAGAGGATCAGACTGGGTGTCCGTGCAGGGATTTCCCTCTGAAGATGGGAACCTTGTCATTGAAAAGAGAGGGGGGATTAATAAACCCTGCGATAACAACGAGCGGCGAATAAAGGAGATCGTTCGGAGAGTCTCGTTTCTGGACTCTTGGAGACGAGGCGGAAAGGGGAAGGGGGGAAACCGACCCAGCGCCAAACCGCAACCATATGCCTGTGATACGGATGCTCCCGACGTCCCCCGAGAGCGGAGGGAAAAAAAAGAAGAAGAGACACAATGCCCTTCCCAGACAGACGACTGGCTGCGCTCGACGCCGCCTACCCCAGAGTTGGGCTTCAGAGCGGCGGGTTCGCACAACTCAGACACAATCGCTCTGGAGAGGAAAAGGAGGGTGGCTTCTTTTTTTTAGGAAGGGGGAAAAGGCGAGAAACCGTCCAGATCCGTTTCTCAAACCGTCCGGGGAAAAGACGACGAGCATCGGACGGAGAACGAGACCGAAACTTTTCCTGCCGCCTCGCCTTTTCCTCCTCATCTTCAACATGAAGGTCCTCTTCTTGGTACTGAGTGTCTTTTGGTCGGCGAAAGGAGACCCTCTGCCAGGTAAGCGGGGTCGGAAACCGGCAACAAGAAGGCCTCTGAGCGTAAGCAGAGTGCTACCTTGGTGCAGGGACCACCCAGAGCCCCAAGAACGAATTGGAGAGTGTCTCGAAAATTGATTCTAAAACAAATTTTCTTGGCTTTTCGTTTGCGGAAGGGTTTTCGCCTTTGTGTTCTGGATGCTGTTTGGTAATGTCCGTCGGCACTGTACGCGCCACAGCCCAATGGCCAAAGGGCTCCAAAGGGTCACCTGAAGCCTTGGAGTAGCATCAGAGCGCGTCCAAAGTGCCGTAGACGGATATGTCAAGGCAAGCGGGGAATTTACTCTGTTATGCAAGACCCAACCCTGGCCAATATCTGACAATTTCCAAACCGTTAATGGTCTTCGGAATGATTCGTTATCCAAATATTCGCATGGGCGAAGGAAAGATGTGGCGTTTGTTGAATGCTTGTGAGGCCTGGCATCAGGGATCAGGGTTCGAAACCTGCTCAGAGACATACTCTCGGCCTCAAAGGAAAGGAGTTTCTACTGTAATCTATCCATCCATCCATCTATGTCTGTACCATGGAGGCTGCCAATAGGTGAAGTGGCCCCTGGGTGGGCTGCTGCTGGGTGAAGTGGCCCTGGGAAAGAAAGGTGACATGTGTATGAGGGGAAGGGAGGAAAGAAAAGATTGGAGAAGAAAGGAAGGTAGAAAGACAGAAAAACTGAGGGAAGAGGAAGGAAAGACGGGTTGACGAGAAAAAGAAGGGAAAGAAAGAAAAGGGAAGGAAGGTGGGAGGAGAAAGAAAAGGAGGGAAAAGGAAAGGGGAAGGAAGGAAAGTAGAAGGGAGAAAGAAATAGGAGGAAAGGAGGGGGAAGGAAAAGAAGGAAGGAAGGAAGGGGGAAAAGAAGGGAAAAGGAGGAAAGGAGAAGGAAGGAAGAAAAGGAGGGAAGGGAAAGAAAGGTGAGGGGAAGGGAAGTAGGGCGAGAAAGAAAAAGGAAAGGATGGAAAGGGAAAAAGGAAAAGAAGAGGGAAGAAGGAGGAAGAAAGAAGGAGAGAAGGAAGGAAGGAAAGGAAAGGGGAAGGAAGGACAGAAAGCAGAGGGGAGAAAGAAATGGGAAAGGAAGGAAAGGGAGAAAGAAGGAAAGGAGGAAGGGAGAGGGAAAGAAAAGGAGAGAAGGAAGGAAAAAAAGGAAAGAGGAAGAAAGGAAGGGGGAAAGAGAAAGAAGGGATGGAAGCAGGGGGATAATGCCAGATATACATGCCAACAAAAACAACAACAACAACAACAACAACAACAACAACAACAACAACAGTAACAGAAGAAGAAGAATGGCTTTCCAAACATCCAGACTAAACCAGCCGCTGCCAAGGCCTGAAATCCTTGCATCGCTTGGCAAATTTAGGGCAAGCTTTGCATCCTCCGGGATCCTATTAGAACATGAACCAAAAATAACCCATAATCCCCCAAATACTGATGGGTTTTGCATAACTCTAAAGGCCGGGAATCGTGTTTTTTGAAAAATGGAGGCCGTGATTGCAGAACCCGAATGTAGAAATCCCATTATCGATGGATAATAGGATTGCTGAAACGAGGATTGTCAGTGGAAGCTACTTCCCATGGAATCCATCGAGAGAAAGGTAGATCAGGTCAGCTTTGCAAGACCTGAGCTGCACGGAGATTCGGTCGAAAAGGCGCTGTCCGTTTAAGAACCCGCTTGGATCCAGTCTTGGATCAGGAATGCTGTGCCTCTTCTTCGGAGAAAAACAGAAACTATAAAGCCTCGATCCAGACACAGGCCGAGGCCTGGCCTCCAGATGCCTTTCTTGGCCCAGGCGCCAGAGCCGCAAAAAACAGAGGGAGAGGCTCCATTTCCGGAGAGAGCTCTCAGAGTTTGCCAAAAAGGGGATCCCTAAGGGCCATCTAGACTGACCCCAAGCTAAATCTCTGCTTATGGGAGAGAGATACAAGGCAGGAGTGGGTTGAACTGAATGACCACCTGTCAGGAGGGTTTGGATGGTGGCCTTCCTGCCTGGAAAAACGGAGCTTGACTAGATAACCCTTGGGGGTCCCATCCCACTCAAGGATGCGATGTCACTCTTTCTCCATGAACCTGCAAATGACTATGAAGCTGGATGGTTATCTGTCGGGAGGGATCGGATTGTATTGTCATTCCTGGAAGAACAAGGTTTGACTAGATAGCCTTTAGGATCTCTTCCAACTCGAGGATTCTATGAAATGGACCCAATGTTTACAGTGTTCCAGCAATGTGGGAGCGTGGGCAGGGATGGAAGAGTCTCCTCCTCTTTTACTTCTCCTCCTCCTCCTCCTCCTTCTTCTTTTCTCTTTTTTCCCCCCTTCTCCGTTTCCTTGAAACACGACAGATTAGTTCATGAGATAAAGGAACAAACAGGCTTTTGATTGGGTTGCCAGCTGGCCGGCGGCCTTTGTGGAAACTATGCTCGGCTCCAGACTGGAAGAGGAGGCAAAAGAAAGAGGCCGGGATCAGGGAACTGCTGAAAAGTTGGACCATTTGTGACGCCTGCGTTTGGTCGGAAACCCTGATGGAGCCCCAAAGGTCATCTACCCCAACCCTGTTTTTATACACAATGCAATGGCGGCACCATGCAACCCTTCCCAACAGATGGCCAGAGGGAGCTGTCCACCACTTTATTGGTGCTGTGAGTTGTAGTTTCCCAAGGGCCTTCATCTTATTGACCTTAAGAACACCAAAACTACAAATCGCCCTGAAATAATGGCAGTGAAAGTGGTGTGAGTTGCCTGTGGGGGGGGGGGGGCATAATAATAATAATAATAATAATAATAATAATAATAATAATAATGTAGAGCCAACTGACATTATACAACCATGTGACAGATCCATGGTCCATATATTGAAATGATATGGGAAACGCATGAAGGAGAGATAGGCCAAGGACCTTGTCAAACTGTGACTCACGGGGGTCCTTAGCACTGAGCCAGGCTCAAATGGTATCCAACTGCATTCATTTTACAGTGTAGATGCACCCAAGGTGAAAATAAGAACAAGCACAATAATAACAACAATACAAATGATACCAAGTCTGGTCCCATATTCTCGTCCTCCGCAAATAGCATCAAACCAATAATAATAATAATCCCACCAATAATAATAATAATAATAATAATAATAATAATAATAATATAATTATAATAACTCAAAGGCTGCCTCCTGTCCAGTTCCATGTTCTCGTCCTCCGCAAATAGCATCAAACCAATAATACCAATAATAATAGTCCCACCAATAAATAATAATAATAATAATAATAATTATAATAACATAATTATAATAACTCAAAGGCTGCCTCCAGTCCAGTCCCATGTTCTCGTCCTCCGCACATAGCATCAAACCAATAATATCAATAATTATTATAATAATAGCTCAAAGGCTGCCTCCAGTCCAGTCCCATATTCTCATCCTCTGCACATAGCATTAAACCATTAATACCAATAATAATAATACCAATAATAATATCAATAATAATAATAACAATAATAATAACTCAAAGACTGCCTCCAGTCCAGTCCCATGTTCTCGTCCTCCGCACATAGCATCAAACCAATAATACCAATAATAATAATACCAATAATAATATCAATAATAATTATAATAATAGCTCAAAGGCTGCCTCCAGTCCAGTCCCATATTCTCGTCTTCCACACATAGCATCAAACTGTAATACATTCCCTCTATACATCTAGGCCAATATCATAATTGAATTAAATTATTTCCAATAGCAAATTTAATCCTTCCTTCCTATTCTAAGGCTTTGGATGGTGGAAGGATGACTCCGAAGCCCTAGTGGCAGAGAGTTCCGCCAGTTAGCAAACTACTTCCTCATTCAACTTCTCTTTTTTTTCTTTTCTTTTCTTTTCTTTCTTTTTTCTTTTTCTTTTTTTTTTTTGTATTTCTTTCTCTTACTCACCAGGAGGCATTTGCTGGTTGCAGCAGGGCCGGGAGGCGAAGTGCACCATGATCCTCCGGACGGGCATCTCCTGGGAGGAATGTTGTGCCAACGGGAACGCCGACCGGGCCTGGTCCAATGCCTCTCACCCGGACAACAAGATCAGCCTCCTCCGCATCCTTGGCCTGGTCACCTGCCATCCTTGCAAAGGTACGACACTGCGGAGCAAAGACTATATCTATAGATGCCTCTATCTATCTATCTATCTATCTATCTATCTATCTATCTATCTATCTATCTATCTATGGGGAACTACAACTCCCAAGGGCCTTGAGGTCGGCTTGGGATGGCAAGGAACCAGCAGGCTGAAGAAAGTGTTCCCACATCCATCCATCCATCCATCCATCCATCTATAAATCTATAAACATAATAAAAGTGAAAATCTGTATGTGTGTATGTGGCTGGGGTGTCCAGTTACACAGACAAGCTCCTGCCTCCACAAACAGCTATAGCTCCCACTACTCATGAGATACCAAAGGCCCTCCCTCCAATGACATTGCAGGCTATAGAGAGTGCCATGAACAAGAGCCCTGCCAGTGTCCTCCACAAACACCATACTTCCCCATCTCCCAAGAGAAGTCTTTAATATAGGGACCATTTCATCCTCCACCACAGACATCCCAGTGTTCCTTACTCTCCCCATTGGTGTGGAATTTGCATGGCCCCACCCACTGTTTCTCCCTTAACCTTTTCCTATTCTTTTCTATGACACACAGCAAACAGAGGAATTGATCAGCAACTGAACATACTAGAGAAGTTTGGGGGAAATTCACCATGATTTAGGGAATTTTAGGTTATGGGATGTATAGTTCACCTGCAATCTAAGAGCACTCTGAACCTACGAACAATGGACCTGGAACTAACTTGGCACACAGAACCCCCATGACCAACAAAACATACTGGAGGTCTTTGGGGGATCGATAGGAGTTGTAGTTCACCTACATTCAGAGCGCACTATGAAGCCAAACAATGATAGATCAAGACCAATCTTGGCATGCATACCCAATATGCCCAAATTTGAATACTGGTGGGTTTTGAGGGGAATTGGCCTGAACATTTTGGAGTTGTAGATACTGGGATATATAGTTCACCTGCAATCAATGAGCACTGTGAACTCCATCAATTATGAAATTGGACCAAACTTGGCACACAAAGATTTCCAATATTTTTTGCTGGTCATGGGGGCTCTCCCCATGACCAGCAAAAAACATTGGAGATCTTTGGAGAAAATTCACCTTAATTTGGGGGAGTTGTAGTCCACCTATATCCAGAGAGCCCTGTGAACCCAAATACCGATGGATCTGGACCAAACTAGGCATACATACCTGATATGCCGAAATATGATTACTGGAGGGCTTTGAGAGGAACTGACCTTACTTTCTGGGAGTTGTAGTTCACCCACAATCAGAGAAACTGTAACCTCCACTGATGATGACCCTGGGCCAAACTTGGCACACAGAACTCTCATGACTAACTCAACCTACTGGAGGGGTTTGAGGGAACTGACTCACCATAGTGGGAGTTGTAGTTTACCCTACAGACAGAGAGTACACTGAACCCCATCCATGATGCATCCAGAGCAAACTTGCCCAATATAACAAACTTTAAGTACTGATTGGGTTTCTCTCAGTTAACTTGGCATGATGTGAGTTGTAGTTCACCCACAACCTTATGCATTTTGTACAATTAATAAATTGACTTTTTCAAACAACTTGGGCAACGCCAGGTACCCAAACTAGTTATTAATAATTATCAATTATTATTATAATTATATGTGGACACTATACTTCTATTGATGCAGCCTAGAATAGCATTGGCCTTTTTCGCCGCTGTATCACATTCATGGCTCTCATTCTGCTTATGGTCTGTTAAGACTCCCTAGATCCTTTTTATCAAACCATTTATTTATATTACTTTCTTATACATAGATTAGACACTAGATTCCTATTGATGCAGCCTAGAATCGTATTAGCCTTTCTCGCTGCCGCATCACACTGTCGACTCAAGTTAATCTACTAAGTCTCCTAGATCTCTTTCACATTTTACATTTTCTCCCTATTTTCTTCCCAAACACACAGCCAGACATCTGCTGCGTTTCAAGGGAAATTATCTTTTTTTTTATCCCCACCAGACATTTCTTTTGACCCCATATGACCTATGGACACAAAGCCGGCGTCTGTCTCGCTCATTCTTTCATTCTTTCCTTCTTTTCTTTCCCAGCTCGTTCATGTTTTCGTGTCACGGCAGCCCAAACAGGAGCTCCCATTGTCCAGTAAAGGGCAGTTCGTGGTCGGAGTCTCGTTCGGAACGTTTTGGGGGCAAATCAGGGTATAAATAAACATAGTAATACTAAATCCCATTCCCTTCCCATTTTTCGAACCCCTGAAAACCTATTCATTTTCATAGTATTGGGGTTCATGTTTATAGATTATCATAGCCTCCTAGAGTGCAAAAGACCCAAAAGACCATCCAGTCCAATTCATTGTCAGGCAGGAAGGCACAATCAAAGTCCTCCTAGCAGATGGCTGTCCAGCCCCCTTCCTCATCAATGGGACTTTTGTTTCAATATGGCTCTCATTATTACCTTCTCTTCTCCAAGCTAAACTTCCCCAGCTTCTTCAACAGCTCCTCATAGGGATTCATAGACTCCAACTGATGCAGTCTGAAATGGCATTGGCCTGTGTCACACCTGTGGCTCACTTTGTGGTCCACTAAGACCCCTAGATCCCTTTCACATGGACTATGACTTCCCTTGATGTGGACACTGGACTCCTATGGACGCAGCCTGGAATCACATTGGCCTTTTCCGCTGCTGCGTCACACATGTGGCTCACTTTGTGGTCCACTAAGACCCCTAGATCCTTTTTACATGGACTATGACTTCTCTTGATGTAGACACTGGAGTCCTATAGATGTAGCCTGGAATCACATTAGCCTTTTTTGCTGCTGCGTTACAATCTAGGTTCAATTTCAGCTTGATATATAGGAGACACTGCATATGAGAGACACTGGACTCCTAAGGACACAGCCTGGAATCGAATTGGCCTTTTTCGCTGCTGTGTCACACTCTTTGCACAGCTTGTGGCCATCCTAGCTTCATCTATTTTGACATGTCCTTCCTTCTCTTCTTGCTAGAGACCTGTGATGGGGTGGACTGCGGTCCAGGCAAGGTCTGCCGCATGAAGCATGGGCGTCCGCACTGCACTTGCGCCCCGGATTGCTCGAGTCTGCCCCGGAAGCTGCAGGTCTGCGGCTCGGATGGCTTCACCTACCGGGACGAGTGTGACCTGCTGACCGCCAAGTGCCGTGGCCACCCGGACCTGGAGGTCATGTACCAGGGACGATGCAAAAGTAAGCAAGCTGTTCCCACAGATGATGATGATGATGATGTTTAGAATCCTATTCATATCCTAGCTCTCTAGGTCCTCTGGCGTGACTCTATAGCAGGCCTGGGCCAACTTCGACCCTCCAGGTGTTTTGGACTTGAACTCCCACAATTGGGAGTTGAAGTGCAAAGCACCTGGAGGGCCAAAGTTGGTCCAGGCCTGCTCTATAGCCAACGTCTAAGTGTTCTCTTTAGGCCCTGTAGTGTGATTCTGTGGCCAACTTCCAATGAGATAAGCTATGGAATATTATTGTTGTTGTTACTGTTGTTGTTATTGATCTTATTAGTAATTTTATTAGACTCACACTAGGGAACATCCAGATGCCTGAAGTGTTCTATTTAGGCACTCTGGCATGACACCTCTAGGCATTTGTATGTTCCCTAGTGTAATAGTAATAATATTATTATATGGCTTATTTTATTGGAAGTTGTCTACTATTATTATTATTATTACTATTAGGAACACACTAGGGAACATACAGATGCCTAGAGATCTATATAAATAAAAATGTAATGTTCGTTTGTGGGATTAACAGAACTCAGAAACCACTGGACAAATTGACACCAAATGTGGACACAAGACACCAAACAACCCAATGTATGTCCTTCACTCACAAAAACACTGAAAAACACAGCAGAAGGGACTTAAAAAGCCCCAAAAAGCTAAATGACGAAAGCTAAAGACAATACAGAAAAAAGGGAAGAAAGAGGGAGGGGAGGGGAGGGGAGGGGAGAAAAYGGGGAAAGAAAGAAGGAAAGGGAGAAAGAAGCATGGAAGCAAAGAGAGAAGGAAGGAAGGCAAGAAGTAGAGAAGGAAAAAAGGAGAAAAAGAGGGAAGGAAAGAAAAAGGGGGGAGGAAGGAAAGTTAGAGAAGGAAGGAAGGAGAGAAGGAAAGAAAAAAGGGAAAGAAGGAAGGAAAGAGGGAGCGAAGGAAGGTAGAGAGAAAGAGGGAGGGAAGGAAAGAGAGAAGGAAGAAAAGAGAGACAGCAAAAGAGAAAGAAAAAGGGGGAAGGAAGAAAAGAGATAGAGAAGGAAGGAACAAGAGAAGGAAAGACGGGAAGGAAGGAGGAAAGAGAGTGAAGGAAGGAAGGAAAGAGGGAGTGAAGGAAGGAGGGAAAGAAGGAGAGAAAGCSGGAAGGTTGGCCACAGCAAAGCGTGGTGGGTACAGCTAGTATATAATAATAATAATKATKATKATCATCATCATCATCATCATCATCATCATGACCGGGCTTTAGCACTGCTGGTTAGTCACCAGCAGCAATACATCTTACCAATCGGACTCCTGCAGTCAGCGTCCCACAACATTTGTTTTGGACGGCTCTGCGAAGTTTCTTTGTGGTCTCACAATATATTCCGCACCCATTTTGTCACATGCTGTCTTGACAGTACGTCATCTCCATAAACTGAAATGATTTCACATGAATCGCAGTGGCATTCATACCCTTAGCATTTAGATAGCATATTACAGCGCAAACTTCGCACTTGGAGGGAAACGGAATGAGGACGCTCATCTCTAATCTTCACCACAATGCCAGTCAATGAGCTACTGAACTACTCAACAGGGGCAAATGCAAGATACTCCACTTAGGCAGAAAATAGGAAAGGCAAAGATACAGAATGGGGGACGATGCCTGGCTCAACAGCAGGACGTATGAGAAAAATCTTGGAGTCCTTGTGGGGAGGAAGGTGAACATAAGCCAAAAATGTTATGCGGCGGCAAAAGAAGCCAATCGGATTTTGTCCTGCATCAATAGGAGTCTAGTGCCTAGATCCAAGATAGTCATGCTACCCCTCTATTCTATTCTATTCTATTCTATTCTATTCTATTCTATTCTATTCTATTCTATTCTATTCTGGGCAACGCAATTGAAGGGAGATGTTGACTCTAAGCTGGAATGTGTCCAGCAGAGAGTGACTCAAAGGATCAAGGGTCTGGAGAACAAGCCCTATGAGGAGTGGCTTAAAGAGCTGGGCATGTTTAGACTGCAGAAGAGAAGTCTTAGAGGAGACATGATGAGAGCCATGGATAAATATGTTAGGGGAATTCATAGGGAGGAGGGAGCAAGCTTGTTTTCTGTTGTCCTAGAAACTAGGATGTGGGGCAATGGCTTCAAACTACAGGAAAGAAAGGAGATTCCACCTGAACATTAGGACAAACTTCATGACTGTGACAGCTGTTCAGCAATGGAACCCTCTGCCCCCGAGTATGGTGGAGGCTCCTTCTTTGGAGGCTTTGAAACAGAGGCTGGATGGCCATCTGTCGGGGGTGCTTTGAATGCGATTTTCCTGCTTCTTGGCAGAATGGGGTTGGACTGGATGGCCCACGAGGTCTCTTCCAACTCAAGGATTCTATGATTGTATACATACTTTGTAATCTTACTTTCCGGATAACTCTCATTTTATTAGGATCCTAGAGCTACCTAGAGATTTATTATTACTATTACTATTACTATTATTATTATTATTTGAAACATGACAGGATGAGTCCATAGCAGACAAGATCACTCTGCTGGCTGTTATATTGGATTAGACATCGGACACGTCCCAAGTGTCTAGGGCTGTGTGATGTATTGGCGAATAATGAATGAAGATCCCAGTAAGGTGGGCTTTTGCAGCTGGCAGATGGTAATTTTGTCAGCGCTGATTGTGTTTAAGTGCAGGCCAAGGTCTTTAGGCACTGCACTCAGTGTACCAATCACCACTGGGACCACCTTTACTGGCTTGTGCCAGAGTCTTTGCGGTTTGAGCTTTAAATCCTCCTATTGTATCAGTTTTTCTAGTTGTCACTGGAATAACAATTATTATTATTATTATTATTATTATTGTAACAATTATTATTATTATATTACTATCAATATTATCTATATCTATAAAAATGCTCTGTGCATAATGAGTACCTTAAAAACAAAAGAACCAATGAACGAAATCACACCAAATTTGGCAACAAAACGTCTCACAACACAAGGAGTGACCATCACTCAAAAAATTATGATTTTGTCATTTGGGAGTTGTAGTTGCTGGGATTTATAGTTCACCTACAATCAAAGAGCATTCTGAACTCCCAACGATGGAATTGAACCAAACATGGCACACAGAACTCCCATGACCAACAGAAAATACTGGAAGGGTTTGGTGGGTGACCTTGAGTTTGGGAGTTGTAGTTCACCTACATCCAGAGAGCACTGTGGACTCAAACAATGATGGATCTGGACCAAACTTGGCACAAGCACTCAATTCGCCCAAATATGAACACAGATGGAGTTTGGGGGAAATAGACCTTGACATTTGGGAGTTGTAGTCACTGGGATTCATAGTTCACCTACAATCAAAGAGCGTTCTGAACTCCACGAACGACAGAATCAGGGCAAACTTCCCACACAGAACCCCCATGACCAACAGAAAATACTTAAAACCATCCAGTCCAACTCTCTTCATCAAAACAAGAAAACGTAATTAAAGTCCTCATGACAAAGAGCCATCCAGCCATCAATATAGATAGATATAGATAGATATAGATAGATAGATAGATAGATAGATAGATAGATAGATAGATAGATATGATTCACACACACACAGATATAGTATCCTAGATTTGAAAGGGACCCTTAAAGAAGGACAATGATATGTTGCATGTTCCAGAGTGGGCAAACCAGACACTCTCCACATCAACACTGACAAAGAAACAACAAGAAATACTGTTTACCCACAAGCAGAAAGAAATAACATAGATTAGAAACCAACACTTTCTCATTATTTTATTTTCCAGATCAACAGACTAGGCCACAGCAATGCGTGGCAGCGGACAGCTAGTTATTACTATTATTAATAATAGTAATAGGATCACACTAGGGAACATACATGTGCCTAGAGATTTAATATTATTATTATTATTATGAATAGCAATACTGATTGGGAAGTGTGTCCTTCTTCCTCAGAGTCCTGCTTGGCCGTGGCCTGCCCGGGGACGCACACCTGCGTGGTGGACCAGACAGGGAGCGCTCATTGTGTGGTCTGCCGTGCGGCCCCCTGCCCAGAGCCCACCGCCCTGGACCGGCCCCTCTGTGGCAACAACAATGCCACCTACCCCTCCACTTGTCACCTGCGCCGAGCCACCTGCTTCCTGGGCCGCTCCATCGGGGTCCGGCATTATGGCGGGTGCGCAGGTAAGACTGGATCGGGGCCCAGGCTCCAAAAGGAGTTCCAAATCCTTCTTGCATTGCAGAATGGTACCATCTCCTTTTGGAGATTTTAAACATTAAACGTTGACATCTTTTCCGCTTTGTTTCTCCAGCCTCAAACAAATCTTCAATGGACCTAGAAGATGATGCTGAAGAAAATTACATCTAAAGCCCGCTTTCTGCTTCCTTGGCCCCAAAAAGGCATTTGCTGCCATTAACGGACAGTCTGGGTTTCGCCGGTATTTATTCCTGCAGAACAAACGGACCAACCGCCTTTAATTTATATTGATCGGCCGAGAAGGTCGCCCGAGGTCACCGAGGCTTTTCTATGGTTCTATGAAGTCTCTTATATATGTATATAATTTAAACCCAAAGCATGTTGTTGCGCTCTGTATGACGCAGATCCTCTTTTTCTCCCTTGACGTCTTGCTCTCTTTCTAATGTTTTAAAGAGCCTATTTTATATATATTTTTGCTATGTTTGCATCCTGATCTTTTCTTAAGCGTCGGCTATAGAAGCCCAAAGGTCAACATAAGTTTCCATACGTAACATTCATCTATTAAACAGCTTTTGAGGATCTAACATATAATACACTTAACAGATCAAGACATTCCTCTACTGGTATTATCCTGGAATATGAAATACATCTGAAATTGGCTGGCCAAATAATAATAATAATAATAATAATAATAGTATAAGAATATAAGAATACAATTATATCATAATGTAATAACAATAATAATATTATAATGGTTATAGTAATATAATATAATAATGATATAAGAATAGAATAATACATTTATATAATATAATAAGAACAACAGTAATCATATTATAATGGTTATAACAATATAATAATAAATCTGAAATTGGGCGTCCAAATAATAATAATAATAATAAATTGTTATAATAGTATAACAAACAAACCTTGGCTATCAAACATCTCAGAGATCTCACAAAATTTCACATCTGCTGTAAATGGATGACCTGAAGCTGTATGGGAAAACTGAAACTGAAATCCAGTCTCTGACTAACGCTGTCCGAATCTTTAGCATGGATATCAACATGGAATTTGGTTTGGACAAACGTTCGACAGTGGCACTGAATAATAATAATAATAATAATAATAATAATAATAATAATAATACTTTATTTATACCCCGCTACCATCTCCCAAGGGACTCGGTGCGGCTTACATGAGGCCGAGCCCACAATACATCAATACAAGCAATAACAACCACAATACAAAGCAAAATACAAATAGTAATACAAAGCAATTGAAAATAAATCTCATACACAAATAGCATAAACATTGAACAATAGCACAAAACACATTTAAAATCTATGGCTGGGCCAAATATAATTAAAGTTTAAAAATAATGCTGGGCATGAACAAGATAGAGGAGGTGGGGCGTTGGTGGAAACGTACAAGCAGTCCTAAATCAGTATAAAGTGCTTTTAGAGAACATAATGCTAAGGGTTCATTATTCTGGGAATGCACACTGGAACAACCACATTTTCAAGCTCCTCCTAAAGACTGCCAAAGTTGGGGCATGCCTGATGTCCTTAGGAAGTGAGTTCCAGAGTCGAGGGGCCACCACCGAGAAGGCCCTCTCTCTCGTCTGCACCAATCGTGCTTGCGATGCAAGTGGGAGCGCGAGTAGGGCCTCTCCAGATGATCGAAGAGATCGTGTAGGTTCGTACACAGAAATGTGGTCACGCAGGTTGGCAGGTCCCAAACTGTTCAGAGCTTTGTAGGTGAGAACTGAGCTGCTGAACTTGCTGACCGAAAGGTTGACAGTTCGAATCCAGGGAGCAGGGTGAGCTCCCACTTCTGCCAACCTAGCAGTTTGAAAACATGCAAATGTGAGTAGATCAACAGGTACCACTCCAGCGGGAAGGTAATGGTGCTCTATGCAGTCATGCCGACCACATGACCTTGGAGGTGTCTACAGACAACGCCACCCCTTCGGCTTAGAAATGGAGATGAGCAACACCCCCCAGAGTCAGACACGACTAGACTTAATGTCAGGGGAAACCTTTGCCTTCACTATAAGAATACAATACAACAACAACAACAACAACAACAACAACAACAACAACAATAATGGTTATAATAGAATTATATAATAATTATAATAAGAATATGATGGTTATAATAGAATTATATAAGATGTAAGAATATAAGAATACAAGAATATAATAATAATATAGCAGTGACAATAATAGAATTATATAATAAATATATAAGAATAAAATATACTATAATAATTATTATAATTTCTATAATATATTATATAAGGATTATATATTAATAATTGAATACAATTATATAATAATATAATAATTATAATTACAAAGTAATGATAATATAGAAGAAAATGTGGAAAGTCGGCTACGTACATTACAGACTTAATAGTAGTGTGATGTGATTTGAGTCCCTATGGGGGACAAGGCGGGAATAGAAACAAACAAATAAATAAATACATAATAGATAGTATATGTACTCATATTGCAGAAGGTCCCAATGGGGAGGAAGAAGGATAATAGAATCATAGAATCAAAGAGTTGGAAGAGACCTCATGGGCCATCCAGTCCAACCCCATTCTGCCAAGAAGCAGGAATATTGCATTCAAATCACCCCTGACAGATGGCCATCCAGCCTCTGTTTAAATAATAATAATTTTAAAATGGTAATAATATAATAGATGGCATCTACACTCATATTGCAGAAGGTCCCAATGGGGAGGAAGAAGGATAATAATAATAATAATAATAATAATAATAATAATAATAATAATTTAAAAATGGTAATAATATAATAGATGGCACCTACACTCATATTGCAGGT